GGTTGGAACATCTATTAACAAAATCTCGATGTTTATATAATATTTTTTGGCTCAAATCTTAATTTAAGATTGGTTAAATCGACGTGAAACAACATTACCAAAAAAGGATATAAATTTAATGTCATAAGGTCTCGCATTTCAATAGACTATACTTCTTAATCAGGCTTTTTAAAAAATTTATGGAACTTAATTTATGTATAGCATGATTTTGTAATTGATTTAAAAAATATTAAATTCTAAATATGATTTCATATAATCACATTGTTGCCATAACTATTTACATATTTGATTCAATTAAGTTTTCTGTATTATTAGATTTTATTATGCCAAATAAATAATTTCTTTAAAGGAAGACTTACAAATGTTAAACTGTGCTACTATTGTTAATATACAGTGATGAAGCTGTTTAGCAAACCGTTGAAAATTTTAATCAACAGAAATTAATGTGTATTAAGGTTTAAGACTCAAGCCGTCACATGAGGATTAAAAGAGCATAGTAATAGAAATTTTCTTATGACGAAAGCTTTAATCTATCTATTTAAAAGCATCACAATACTCTCTTAAATTGTATCAAATTATCTAATAACTTCCACATCAGCTAATTCATAAGCGTAGAATGGGGGGGGGGGGGCAAGGTAAATCCCTCTCTTGGAAATTTGTATATTCTTGTGAATATCATTATAAGTTAATAAAAAAAATTCATCTATCATCTTCACTTCCATCTCCCCAAAAATGTATTATCACTATAAAAAAGAATGTGAAAGAAAATTTAGTGAAGGTTAATAATTTTTTAAAATAACGTCTATAATTCTAAATATTTATAAAAAATAACATTTTAAAGTAAAAAACCCAAAATTATTTTTATAAAAATCTAATATAGGAGTCATTCCATTACAAATCAAACCGTGTTTCTGATGACCATCTCGAAAATGAATGAAAATTGGCTTGTTAATTTTTTATTGCTAGCTACACCAGATCAAAAGATGTACGCCTTCATAATGTGTGATTTCATTAAATCTTGTTTTTTTAAAAAAAAATACCTACGATGAGATTACAAATTATATATCATTTTATAGCCCTTAAGATACATTAAAAAATAAAAAAAATAATTAAAAAAATTCCAAGTGTTATCTTATTTCCGGCAAAATGAAAAATTAACATTATTAAAAAGGGAATTTTTTGGATTGTTGATAGCTTGGAAAGGTTTATTACAATAATATTTTGTTTAATAAAAAAAAATGATGGCGTTTTTTTCGTTTTAGTTTTATTTAAATTATTTATAAATAAATTTAAAAGAATATATATGACGTTATATTTAAAAATCATTATAATATAATATATTTAATAAAAAGGTATTGTATTAGTATTAAAATAAAAAATTCCGTGTATAAAAAATATGTTTTGGAGCCATATGTGAGCAAGTAGCCCATACAGATATGATTATTATTAGAAGGCTATATTTTAAAATAAACATAAAATTTTATAAACAAATTATTAATAAATACCTCTCATCTATATCGTATTCCATTGCCTTTAGAATTTTCTGACACAATAATTTATAGGTAAGTCCTGTTCCTGTTATTGGATCTACTAAAATTATTATTTGATTAATGGGAAACCATACCTTATTGTGGTGTAAAAGAATGTGGTAATGCACCATGTTTATGTAAAAAAAGAAATACTCCTCAGTATTGTCATTCTTTTTCGGTATAGTGACTAAACCTAAAATCGTTATAACATTTTACGAATTCTTTGATATCGACAAAAAGCAAATTATCGGCATTTGAGAACAAGTTAATGGTGCATATGACTATATTTTTAGACTCAAGGGAAATACAGCGTGTATTTCCCGAGTTCCTGGAATAGGGGGAACTAATTGAATCTTTCTCATAGTTAAATCTCTTCTAAATTGTATTGCGATGGTTATATATGTAGAATTTACTGATGGAATATTTTGTTTTGCAGATATAAATCAAATGATTTTAAAATGTTCTCCAGATGGTATTCTGAAGGTTTGATACTGCTGCTAATCCTTTTAATCTCCCTCCATGGCTGTTACATGGACGGCATTCATGGAATGTTAACAAAAATTGTTAAACAGCTGCACGACAAAATCTGATTCATGATAACACTGATTTATAAAAAAAAAACCTGTTTTTATATTGCGCAGTTGATTCGTCAGAGCAGATATTAGTAAAAAATCCAGAACCTAAATATAAATAGATTCTAATCCATAATCTGGATAAACTTACCTTTTGTAAATTTTTAAAATTTACTTATGGCCCTTTCCAAAGTGCATAGAGATTTCATTGGAAAAAAAATTAATTGGATTTTTACATAAAAAATATATTACAATTTTTGCGGTGCTATGTTATAAAAAAAATTTAACGTTAATAAAGAAATATTTTTTTTTAACATTATATTCTTTTCAATCCCTGAATGATATTTAAATTTCCTATTTACATATTTTAAAGTATCATAGAAAGAAAGGAATAAAAAATAATTTTTTTTTACTTATTTCAAATATATAGCGTTATCTATATTAAATTTTTTTTAAATTTTTTTTTAAAATAATAAAATTTAATCAAAATTAAAAGAAAAAAAGCTATCAATTTCTTTGGATAAATAATTTAATATAAAGGAAGTAAACATTCTTAGCGAATATCAATACCCAATTAAAAATCCCATCTCAAGTTACTTTTTCATTTTTAACGGAAATAAGAAAACACCTATAATTTTTTAATTTTTTTAAATATTTTCCAAATTAGAATTTTAATGGCTATATAATGATATGTGACACTATCATAATTATTTTTATTTTAAATGAAATTTAATGAAATCACACTTTATTCGATTTTCGACTTTGAAGACGTATATCTTTGGATTTGATAGAGCTATAGCGCTCTAAAATTTTGATTTACTAAAATATACAACATAGATAACTATAATGCCAAGTTTAGTTTATTCTGAGATGGTCGTCAGAAAATCTCGATCTCCAAAACATTATAAGGATAAAACCCGCCTAATAGTATTTCCCCCTCCTTAAAAAAATCTTGGCTACTCCTATGATCTACTCCCCTTCCCCATCTATTTTATCATAAATTGCAATATTAGTACAAATTCTTTTTTTACAATTTAGGTAGTACATTTCAAAAATGGATGCTATTTACTATTTCCACTTTAAAAAAATTTTTTTTAATTTAGATAAATTCAATCCTAAAACAAGTAAAATTATTATAAGCCTATCCCCTAACCCACCCACCTTCATATTATTAAGACATAAATATAGCGATAAAGACAATTTTATACAATTATTTAATGTGCCGGTCATCTGATCTTATCTGCGTATAATACGTTAATAATCTTTCTTTAATCTTTAAAAAATATTATGCTTGATAATATATCTATTTTTTGAATATTTATAAAATAAATATCTCTACGCTATTTGAAAATCAAAATTCAGCCTTAGGTTCATCTAATTATTTTTCAACATTAGTAATATATTTTAATATCTTAAACATTTCGCACTAGTTTACTTAAACAAATTCTTAAGGTTCTTTCTCTTTCCATGTTAATAAAAGACATTATATTAAATCTAGAATCCTCGTATCTATATACCCTGATTTATAAAATGATTTCAATGTTAAAAAAATAGGCTCCACATTAGGCTAACTGTGTCAGTAAAATTGCTTATACGAGAATACCCTAGAGTTCATATCCATTAGCCCCACCCCCTTCCATTTATAAAAATATATTTATTTTTGGAGAAAATCATGCCTTGAATTCAAATGTGAACAAAATCGTCGACTAAGTTAAATAGAGTTCGATTCATTTTTTATAATTTCTCAGGAGAGAATATTTAAAAAAATATTTCTTATATTTGATAGGAGAGCATTTAAAAAAAAATGTTTCTAATATTTTAGATAAGAAAATAGTTTCTTTCAAAATGTCCATTTTATGATAAAAATAATCGAAATTTACAGGGAGCTCTTCAAAGTTTTCAGTGGGTTTGAGCTACCTGCGCGATATCAGTGCTTAGATTCATTTGTCCAAAAAAAAATGATTTTTTGCAAAATAAGTGAATATAGAACCTTAGAATACTCAGCGGTTAAATATAAATAACTTTTCGATATGAGGAAATTTACAGGTACCAATTATATGTATTGTAACGCAATTTCTAGAAAAGGATTAAAATTCTAACTTTGATAGGAACGAAACCTTAAGCACCTTAAAAATAATATTTATTGAGATACAAAACTATTTATTCCGTTTTCGCGATCCAACGCAGCTCTTAATTAATTACTTATGTATACTGACAGTATGCCCTAAACTAAATAATAATGATATTTCCATGATATTTTTGTACGATCATTATACGTTGAATCATTTAAAACGTTTTTAATATTACTACCCATCCATCCCTCACAAGAGAACGTTTCAGTCCACCTTACCCCTCCCCACTTTAATTTAAAAAAAACTCCTTTTTTTAAATCGTTATATAATAGGTTATGGGTTCTGAATTATTTTTTATTTTTTCGGCTTTTAACTCTAAGAACATTCTAGCTTTATCAATTTATTTTATTATGGATTAAAACATATAATGGTATATCTAAATCTTCTATTTTTAAATTTTTTACTTTTAGTAATATTTGATCTCTTGTTAGTAATATTCTAAGTAGTTTGATAGGCAGTCAAAAATATATTAGAATAGAACTAATCGAAAGAAAGTTTTGTATATTGGCCTGAAAATAAATTAATATAATTATATAAAATAAACAGTTAGAAAATATTTTTTTTATCATTTAAAGTAATTTCAGATTATTTTATTTTTAATAGAGATCATAAAATCTTAAGAACTCTAATGGGTGTTTTGCCATACTTCTGATACTTTAAAGATTCAGACCTCTCATTATAAACTTAAATTCTTATTATATTTTTTTTATTAGAAGAAAATATAATAAATTTAAAGTTTTAAAGCAACATAATATTAATAAACTTACCCTTAGCAGAGAATCGATAGCTGGCTCTCCTGTGCAGACTCCCCACATACCTCGTTAATAGATGAGCCATAAAATCAAAGTATTTAATTTAATAAATTTAAAAATCTCCTTATATTTGGAAAAGAAGATGATGGATATATTGGAACGCCACTGGAATTTATAAAATGGCTTAATTTTTTTTTTATTATTATTAAATATTTAATTACTTATTTTTTAAAAAAAAATTTTTTTTCATCTGTTCCTCATCTATATTTTTTTCTGATTTTATTTTGTGACTTCTCTTTAAAATAAAATTAAAGTCATCGTTAACAAATAATTATAATCGCATTTAAAGAAATTATATTAACAACAAAAATACATTTATTTTTTAGACTGGCGTAAATAATAATTTTTTTCTTCGTTCATTATTGGTTGATCCTATTTAGTAATATGAACATATTTTGGTATTTATAAATAAAATTTATTTATTAAGATTCACTTTTTCTTTATCTTATATTTTCGTGTTTTTTTAAAAAATTTACCCGTAAAAACCTATGCATAAAAATATGAAAAAATCATCTTTGTTCCTAAATTTTATGGTATGAAAATTTAGGGTCATTTTAAACAATAGAGTTATCCGAGATAATAGTCGTCAATATTCAAACAAATATTTATATTAAAATAAAAATTGCGAAATCCATTTTATAATATTATCATTAAAACCTCTTCATAACTTCGGGTTGTTGTTCAAACTGAGATTTCCAGAAATTATTAGTTATAGTGTATATACATTAATAAGAAATATATCTAAAATGAATCCCAGAAAAAAAAAGCCTATCAAACCGCACAAAATAACTATGATGAAAAAGGTTTAAGGAGAAAAATTCTGTAAAGAAGAAATAATTAGAGGGAAAAAAAATATTTATAAAAAAGACTTCGATAAATAAATTTGTATATTTCTTTTATTATACATGTTTCTTCTACTAATAAATTTAGCCATTAGCACGAGTTGGTCCTAAAGCGATTTGTCATAAATTTAAAAATGTTCTTTTAGACCGGCCCATATATTTTTCCCCGATGTTTAATAAATTTTTTAAAAACCTCCCGACCCAAGTCTAAATTGTTTGGGAAGGGAAAATCATAAATTTGAAATTGAATATAATATCAAAATTGTGGGTAGATCAAGAAAATATTATCTTGCATAAAATGGGAAGGCTACTTTGCACAAGTTTTCCGTCTCGTTTCCACTTGTTCGATGTCAATGTCTTTTTCCATAAATATTTGTCGAAATTAGTAAAAGATTTCCTTGGAAAAAATTTATTTATTTTTGATATCTTCTTCCAAATTGAGGTTTGAATCTCTTTTCTTTAAGATATTTTACAAATTTGTGAGTTATTTACTATAGGTTTACCAAACAAATATTCTTTTTTTAATAGGAGAGACCGGGGTCATATGGCAGGGATTACATTTTTGTGATATTTTTCATTTAGGTAAAAAATATTACGATTTTTATATTAATTCTTTACCTTAAATATTAGCCTTGGTAGTTTTGAATTTTATTTTTTAAATTATACACATTTATTTTCTGACAGCTTTCATTGTTTTTTTAATAAATTTAGAAGAAAAAACCTCATTATTAATAATTAAATATTAATTTAATTATTTAAAATAAATTTAAATCATAACTATATTAAAAATTGTTAACACGCCAATTAAAATGAATTCAGGTTTAGTTTTGATTTGCCAATAGGTTTATTAGAGGTTAAGGTGTTCTGTTCGATTTAAATCTCTTGCAACAATATTTAGTATCTTCTCTGATATTAATATGTCCATTATTCTAAATTCATAGTTAGTGTGCTAATTCGCCGTGGAAAATACAGAAATTTTATATACTTCAGTGCTTATTAATGGTAACTATGAATTCAGGTCTATAAATTTAAATTGCAAAACATTTCCATCAAGTGATATTATATATTAATGAAAACTAAAGTAAAGCTCTCTATACTTCTCTCCCAAGTCAATCGCGCTAAGGCCCCATTCATGACTGGAATACAAAACTGATATCTTCTATATTTTGACTAAAAATGTATTGCCTGAGTTATCCCTGAAATGTTACTACAATTCCATATCGTACCTCTACCTTCCCGTTATTAAGGGGCATAAACCAAAATTGGTATGAAAAGTGGCGTGAAAACTGGGCAGCAGAATGCAGTATCCTAGTTTGGGTCAATATAAATTTCAGGACAGAATAATTTAACTTTTCCAATGAACAAAAAAAATAAAGGAAAATGCTTTTACTAATATTAAAAACATGATATAATACGATGGAACATCCGTAATATGTTAAAATTGATCACTTATTATGATTTTTATGATATTTTGGATTATAATTCAATTCAGTTAATATATTTAAATTTCTATTCGTCTATTTATAATCTCATGAATTATCATTGACAGGTTATTTAAAAAAAAATATTTAATGTTTATTAAAAACCATTTTTAATATTTTAACCTTAACCATATCTCTCAAACCTTTAATTATCCCATATCTCTCTCTCACCTTTAACTCATTACTTCAGATACTTGTTTAATGTTAAATATATTTTTTTCCAATTAAAAAATCTCCTTTAGTTGCGTTTTTTTTGTATGTTAAACATTTTTAATAAGTTGTTTGTATGAAATATCTAAAGAAATTAATTTAGTTTTGTTTTGTGATTATTTGTGTGTTTTCATGTAATTTTATAAATATGCCATAGGAATCTGAATCATTATTATATATAGGGAGGAAAACGATTTTAAAATAGGGTTAATACTTCATTTTTAAAGATAAAAGTAAAACTTAAAGCTAAATTTTTATACTAGAATCCTAAGAAATGAGGGTGCCCCGAAGTGCAGAAGAGTTTATTCTTGTCATTAGTAAATTTAATTTTTTGAAAGTTAGGGTTACGATTAAAGTTCTATAAGGGCTACGATTAAAGTTTTATCAGGTTATGGTTTGATGGTTTGGATAAGTTATATAATTATGCATAATTTTAGGATGGAGCTCTAATCAAGGCCATTTAAGATAAACTTTTATATTGGACAAAGCAATTAGATATCTTAAACAGTGTCGTTAAATGGCTCAGCTAACTCATTATTTAGACAGAAGGATATTGGCTAAGCCTCGAGATTTCGCTAATAGATGTCCAAACTTGTATGCCATCTATAATGAAAATCTTTAATCTTACTTAATGTTTTTCTGGATTATAGAGTTTACCGTTTAAAAATCGGCTCAAATCGAACCGTTTAACAACACTAATCTTAAGATATCCTGAAAAATGCATTATGAAAATCTAAAAATATATTTAGTCGATTAAAGAGTGTCTAGCAAAATTAAGCTATACTATATTAATAATAATAAAAATAATAATAAAAATAACATTAATAACAATAACAAAAATAAAAAAATAATAATAATAAATAATAATAACAATAATAATATTTATTTTGATGTATATAAAAATATAATAATTGAAATTTTTTAATAAGAAAGGATTCGTTAGTTAATGAACCCATTTTTTAGACTTCACATTTTATGCAACAAATTTGGGGTTTTTTCTTCTTACTATGAAATGTCTCTCAAATAGAAATGGTCGTCATCTTTATCGAAGAACGTTTTAGCTAATTTTGGTTTTTCATCTTTTGACTCAACTAGTTTATTACTGGCCTCATTTTGAATATTAGCCGGTTTTTCTTCCAGTTTCTGGACTAACGATGGGGTTATATAGACGCTTTCTCTAGACAGGTTTTCGGATATGGTTGGCAACCCGAGAGTTTCTTTAACGCCGGGTAAGGTTTGTTTGTGTGGGGATAGTTTGGACTCATTATTGATAGTGATTATTTTAGTTAAAGGAACATTTTCGAATGTGATTGGTGTAGAGATTGTGGGGGCAGCAGAGGGCTGAGGTAAAGTGTTATTTTGATTAGGCAACAAAGAGCTACTTGTCTTGATCATAGATGCGTTAAGTATCATGGGTTGTGAAGGGGCAGATGGAGTACTACCAATATTAGCAGCCAAAGCTTTATTCGCAGCAGCCATGGTAGAAACTCTAATGTCAAAAGGTGTCATTTGGGTGAGAATAGTTTTTTTGTCGGTAGTGCTAGGAGGTTGTATCTGATTATCCATTGCTGCCATTTCCTGAGATTGAATTATCTTTGATCCCATTTCGTCATAGAGTTTTGACTCCATGGAAAAGGCAAAATAAATGGCTAGGATCTAATAATTTAATGATAAAAAATTGACTAATAACACAAGTTTATAAAATGCTTAAAATAATACAATATCATTTTACTGTTAAAATAACATTTCAAACTTGTAAAATGTCATTTTAGATTTATGTGCAACATATCATTTCAAACATGTATTATCATTTTAAGCTTCAAATGAGTTTTAGGTGAAGTGCAATATATAAACTTTAAGGAAACATTTCGTTATCTCTTTAACTATGTACCTCATTATCTTGTTTATTAAAAATGGTGGCTTTAAGAATTACATATTATAAAGAATAAAAAAGAAATTAAAATCAAAAATTAACAAAAAATTTACATTCGAATTTTATATATTTCTGCCCCCCCCCCCATTGGGGTTGTGTATGGGGGGGGGGGGGTAATGATTTAATTCGCCCTATCATAGAAATAATTTCTTTTCTTTAATGGGGTTAAACATTTTATCTGAATCTAAATGATGAACTTAAAATCAAAAATAAATAAATATTGAGTAAGAATATTGTATAAAATATATTTTACCGATTTTATTTTGTAATAAATTTTTTACCTTATCTATGTATAAATTGATTTTTTAAAAATTATTTTAATTTAAACTTTTACTAAAATGTTATCTCAATATTATAAGTACCGATGTTAGTAATTTAACTATTCTTTTTACAGAAAATTTGACCTCCCTCGCAAGAAAAATTCTAGATACCCATTTTATTATAATGACTATAGTGCCTTCATAACTCTATACCCTTCCATTTTATTTAAATTTAAAAAAAAATTGCATTATTTTTTACCTGCAATATGAATATAGCTATAAAGTTTCCGACCAAATAAGGCAGATTTTCATCCACGAAAGTATTTTGCAATTGATTCAAACATCCCTTTTATTTACAAAGACTATATACTATATTTTAAGCTGTTACAACTAATTATAGGTTTATTTTGCTCAATCTCAGTTTCCGCCACCGATTATTAAATGACTGTTGGCTTCATTTTCTTAAATTCTTATGAAGAAAAAAAACACTCATCTGTAATATACCTTATCATCCAATTTTGTAAAAAAAATTTTTTACCTATGCCATAAAACTAAAATTATTACAAATATTAGACATCACTTGATTTTTATAATTCAAAGTGAGGGCTAATATATTAAATGAATTCCTCTCCTAGCACAAATCAGACCTTTATGATACATGTTTCTGAAATGTTAAGTTTAAAAAAAAATATGCAATAAAACAAAAAATAATTGGTTTTTCAGATATATAAAAATCGAAAACAAAACAAAAAAAAACATATTTAAATCATTAAAACCGAAATTTTGAAAAACTCAAAAATTATAAAAAAAATTTTAGAAATAAAATAAGCATTTTGATAATGAAAAATTTCGAATAAAATATTGATGGATTATATTCTCGAGGATATTCGTTGTATCAGTAAAAAAAATCAATTAACAGGAGAAAAGAGGTTGTATTGTTTCTCATTAACTCGATGCCGCTATTTTTAATTTTAAAAAAATCGTGAAGGTCACGTGATATCTTATTTTGACTCTTTTGCCAATTAAAAAAAACAAAGAGCATGACGGTCATATATTAAATTTAAAAACATCAATTTATACCGTCATTATTATTTAAATTTTGAATTATATTTATTTATCCCCAAGAAGAAAAACAGAAAATTGTACCTTAGTAAATATGAAATTCGACCCGACTTCCCAATAAATGTTATTGAGATTCCTGATGAAGGTTACTTTATTGCAATCAACGTCATTGGGGTTTACACAACAACTTCTGGGTAATAATTTTCCGTCCAACCTCTCCCTTTCTGGCAAGGTCCATAGGAAACTTTTTTTTTTAAAATGGTCATGAATATATAACTAACTTCACAATAGATGATGCACATATTTAATTTGCAAGTATTTCGGGAAAATTTGAATTAGGCTCATAATATAATATTCCTTAGGGGGTCCGCTCCACATACCTATATCTTGAACCTGTCCACCCTCAAGAAATTAGTTCTAATATTTTATGTATGTATAATGAAATTTTAGCTCTTAGTAATGTTATAACCAGATGTGATTAAGCCTACCAAAGTAGAATCCCTAGTCGAATAGAATAAAACCGAAGTTCTTGTTTAAGATTGAAGCTAAGCACGTGACATTAAAAATATACCTATAAACGGAAAAGGGATAATGATGATTACGGATTATTCGGCAATCCTGATAGATGATTAGCAGAAAAATTAAAAAGATCACCTATTTTTAGAAGAAAAAAATTTTAAAAAATTTGCACGTTTATATATGAATGTAGAAGCGAGATAGATGAGATAAACAATAATATATTTTTTTATTTTTATTATCCTTCCAAGAATGGTCTATTTTTTTTCTTTACTTAGCTCAATGTTCCCAGAAACCTAAGATAATAGAACTCAAAAAATTTTTTATGCCTCCTTACCCTTTGTTTTTATCCTATCTAAATATTTTATATCCCCTGCCCTGTCTCAATTCGAAAAATTTAGCTAAAATGGGAAATCCAAAATAAAAACCATATCATATTTTATCACCCTACCCTTGTTGAAAAAGCTCTAGGAGATATTATTTATAGGATAAGGATATTCTTTTAAAAAATGATATTATGATACTTTTTTTTTAAAAAAAGCAAACCAATTGTTTTAATCTATAAAGCTAAATCCTGGCGAGATAAAATTGCGAGATTATTTAGCTGCTTTGCCACTTACTACACTTTTAAATGGTTTCTTACTTGTCTAAATAATATTGTTCACCCTTAATATATTGCAAGCACAGGTGTAGCCAGGATTTGATTAATGTAGGTAGGGGGTTATAAATTTTAGCCTTATCTTTTGGTGAAATAGGTCCCTTTATTGCAAGCCTTTGACAGAGTTAAATCTGCTCTTCAACTCGTTAACACTATGAGAAACATTATAGCAATATTATAATGTATGATTGATTTTTACAAACTATCCGCGTAATCTTGGTAATCGGTGGCTCCACAGCATTGGTATTTATTCTGGATAAAATCGATGGAGTTTCCCACGCTTTTTTCGTTGAATTTGCCGTATTTCTCCTTAATTATTATCCCCAGGTCTCGGCCAATAAGATTTTTAATCTTGAATTATATTATGTTATCGGCAGGCAATTATTAGTTAAACAGAGCAACAGTTCATGACTTAGGTTCGGTTTTTAAAAAACAATAATATCGGTTCGGTTTGAAAATTTAAAAACTGTTTCATATCTTTTCACTTACAAGCGTATTAGAATAATGTAAAGACACATTTTTAAAATTTTATCACAGTTCTCTAGATATTAATTTTAGGGGCAAGTCGGTTTACATACATTTGGTTTAGGTTCGGTAAATAATAACTATTAATACCAGTTTAACCATTCGGTTCAGGTTCAGTTTGAATCCATGCAGTCAATACCCGTATTCACTGATTATTCGCTTATTGCCTGTATATAAATTTAAAATGCTTCAAAAGTTATTGATTAAATCATCTGAAATTTAGAGGTTAGATGTTCCACACATATTGGAATTCATTTTAGGCAAAATCAGATTATTGTAATGTAAAAAAAAAGAAGCTTTGAACAAAGGATTTTGAAATTTAACAGTTATAAATATTTATTTAGTAATAATTTTTAATAATTTATTTTTTCCGGAAATGTAACTAGCATGTTTAGAATACCTACTATAAATTACAGATAATTTTGTATGATATTCACGATTTAAATAAGGCAATACGCGTATTTATAGGATACGCTATTTGAAAGTAATATTATGTATACGGAACAACTATTCTTGAATATACTAAGATAAATTTTATATAATCGATTTTAATTAACAATTTAGAAAATTTTGAGGAATTGTTATCTAAGGGGAAAAAAAATATAGTAATTAAAACATAAAACGTTAAGAAAACAAAAACTATTGTATTATTATATGTTAATGTGATATTAAATCGATATATGTTAGAAGTTTGACACCAATATCTCTGACACCTAAACGATCGATATGAAATAACATCTTATTTTTTAATATTAAGATGCAAGTGCCCCAAGTATGTTTTTTTGTAAATAATTGGACCTAGCCTAAAAATGAATTTTATATATTTCTTCGATAAGTATTCTAAAATTGTGAGTATGTAAGATCATAATTAATATGTATAAACTGAAATTTTAATATTTTTAGAGCAGGGACTTCTACCAGGAGGGGTGAGGGGGTAGAAGGAGTGGGTGGGTATTGCACAAGATGTTTAAGAGGGAAGGAGGTTGTTTAGATTTGGAACTTCCTTTTTTGTTAATTCTTTTATTTGCTAATTTTGATTTGGATAGGGGTAGGAAGATATAAGGATAGAAATCGGAAATGGCTAAGAAGATTAAATCCATGATCTAAAGCGTAACATGCCATTTTTATTCTTATAAAAATGTAATGTAATCAGGTAAAACTTAAAATCATAATTATAAGTCACAAATCTAGGTTAAAAATTAGTAACTGAATGAAATTAGATCAGCTATTATTAAAAAAATTTAAAAACTACTAATATTTTTAAATTTAAATTCAGTCATATTTGTTATACATATTAATTTCACTTCGATCCTTTAGAAATGAAGGTTTGATGTAATGCGCATAACATAGTACATATTAATAAACACTATATGAATACAATAACATTTTAAACCTTATTAGCGAACGCCAATAAAAACAGAATGATGAGAATCTGGGAAAACACTATGGTAGTCAGCACCACGTAATAGTTTTTAAACGAATCCGGGCTATTTTCTAAATACGCTTTAACACCTATGAGCGCCGCCGTGCAAAATGTGATGGTCATAACCATTAGGAGAAACGATATCCCAGTTGACATCTCTTCGCCCGAGAGATCGGTATATATCGGGGAGTGTAGTCTCAAATACGCTGCAAATAAAAATAATGTTCTTGTAATGTAGTTCTAGCCGATCTAAGATTTTTATAAAATTTGTAGAACCATGGCGTTTATATTTTATAATTTTCAAAAAATTGTCATCATTACGAATCGTATTAGAGCAATAGTTCCTATTATTCTATGATCCTTAAATTTGTAGTTAAAAGAATCATGTCTTTCATAATTAGAAAAAAACACGCGCTATAAATTTATTTAAGTTTTAAAAGTTTTATAAAAATGGTAATCAATGAACAAGATAAACCCCTATTTTAGTGAGCACAAATTGACACGTTTGCATTTTGCCATTAATTAAAAAACGTAACGCAAACCTTTTTTAAATTTAAGTTGCCTTATAAGTAGTGTTGTTAAACGGCTCGTTTTGAGCCAATTTTTAAAAACGGCTAACTCAATATTTCATCCAGAAAAATATTAAGCAAGCCTAAAGATTTTGCTCATTGAAGCAACAAAGGTCTGGACATATATTATCGAAATCTCGAGGCTTAGGCAATACTTTTCTGGTTAAAATACTGAGTTCGCCGTTTAAAAATCGGCTCATCAAAATTTTAACTAAGTTATAAGAAAAATAATTGAATTGGCTTTTTGTTATTCCCATTATCGGCTGTCTTTTTATTTCATTAATTTCTAAATATTTCATTATAAGATATTTTTTTTACATTTTAAATAATATTAAATTTACAATAAACAAACAACTAGGTGTTGTAATTGTTGGTAAAGAAGAAATAAATTTAATATAATGCATAAAGTTTAAGTTATTTTCTGACAGGGGAATTAAGTTTTTCTTGGGGAAAGAAGAAGAGATGGGATCACGGGGTGTGTTTCATTGTTCGGAAAAACCCCTAGTTGTAGATTGGGAGATATTGGATTAGATGTCAGCTGTGGACCTTTGGATGTCAGCTGTGGACCTTTGAGAAATGAAGAATTGGATAATTATATTATATTATATTTTTCTACATATTTTATGTTAGATTGTTGTTGTTTTATTGGGAATAAAGATAATTTTGAATAAATGGGTTATGTTAAATATGGATCGTCGTTAATGGTCAATGGTATTTATTTAATATTATTAGAAAGAATCATGTTGGATTGTTAAGTTATATAATTGAGAGTAAAAGGCATTTTTATTATATTTAAGGTAACTTGTAATATTGGTGCCGTGACCAGGATTCGAACCTGGGTTAATGCGGTTTTAAAGTAAAACAAAATTTTTGTTGTATACATATTACATAAGAGGAATTTTGACAAGGCAATGTACTAAAAACTATACAAGTTACAAAGATCACGATAGAAAGAAGGTAATGGGTATTATGCAAGAATATGGAAATAAGATCAGGAATTTAAGACAGTAATATTTGGTATATTATCTTATGTCTAGATGTATATGGTACATCCAATTTTGATCATTATTTGGTATGCCTTAAAACTCATTGAATGGTGTTATAGGTATTCCGTCATAGGAAGCTACTCATGATCAGCAGGACAGAAAGGATTGCTAAATATTTAAATATTTGAAATTTAGGAAAATATATATGGAAATAGACTTTTGGAATAAAGTGTAGATTACAATTATGCATTTGGGTTTTTAAAGGGATGGACATGTGTGGGATAATTTATTAATAATTAATGGTAATATATGGTATCTGTAATTTAATTTCAATTAAGGTTGATATGTTATTAAGGGATCCATTGAGGGTGAGGTAACGTGGTTTATTGTGAATTAATTAACCATTTTTATGAAATAGGGTGTAATGTGAATTACACATATGATATATTAAATTTTGTTTATTTTGAAGTAATTAATTTTGTTTATTTGAGGTAATAAACCATTTTTATGAAATTGGGTGTAATGTAAATTACACATATGATATATTAAATTATGAATGATAATTTGAAGGAATTAAGTATGAGGAAGTCAGAATAATATCCAATTAGAGGTGGATAGTTATGATTTAGTGTCTACATTTAGCATATATATAAATTGGATAGGAATTTATATGATATATTAGAGGAGGTATAATATTTTTTTTCTAAATTATGAAATCTTTATATTTAATATATATATTTTTTTTTTAAATTATAAAATTTTATAAAAAGTTATATTTGCAATTATTATATTAGTTTTATGGTATGCAATGATGTGAAGGGAAAATATTTTTACAGATATGGTCAGCCCGTGTTGATGGGTATGCCTTGAGGTGAGAATATTGTTTTGGAGAAAATTTTTTTTGGGTGTAAATTTTTTTTTGTAAATTTATGCTGCATAATACATTTTCTTATCTTTTTAATAAATTTATAACACATCACATTTTACTATTTATTTATGAACTATTTTTTTTAAAGAAAAGACTCAAATTATTTTATATTGTGAAGGTATACATTATAAATTCTTTACGTATATACCATATAGCCCATTATATTCTCAATTTTTGTTACTTTTCATTCTACATTTTTGTAAATTTGTGCTAATTGTGATGACATAGTTAGGTTGAAATGGTATATTTTTCTTAGGATACTGAGTAATTCCTAGATGGAAAATATTGTATTTTCTACATATTATATTTGTTCCTTCATATAAAATATTAAATGTATTTGTATATGTATGTATTGTAATTTTATTTATAATCTTTGTTCGGCAAAGTTCGCAATTATTTGTAATACCTAAAGATGGATTTTTATATTCATTTTAGGAGATATTTATAAAGATGTAGCTTTGTTTTTTTTTCACATGACAGAAGGAAAATTACATGTGTTGAAATTACTTTTCACACATAGACCATGTTTTCACATTACATTATTATATGTAAAATCATTATTTCTTAATTACCATGAATCATACCCAAATAATGTGTATTATAGCTCATATTTCCCAAATGTCTTAAAATGAATGAATTATTATGTTTTGCTGATATTACATTGTCCATATTAATGTTGCATAGATTATAAATGCAGATATCCCAATGTACATGTCATTATCGATAATATGTGTTTTCGCGATTATATATTGAAAGGTATCGGCGATATTATATTATAAATCATCATAAGGGAAGACGATTAGACAAATTCCCTGAATGTCTTCAAGGCGTCTCTATATAATTCAAAAATGTGTTCGATACAATTCAAGGGGGTGATTCGATACAATTCAAAGGGGTGATTCGATACAATTCAAAGGGGTGATTCGATATAATTCAAAGGGGTGATTCAATACAATTCAAAGAGGTGATTCGATACAACACCATCAGAGAGAGAGTGGATACAACACCACCACAGAGAGAGGGACGCTGGGCTTGTGAAGGGTGGGCGTGTTGTAATTGTTGAAAAAGAAGAAATAAATTTAATATAATGCATAAAATGTCAGTTATTTTCTGACAGGGGAATTAAGTTTTCCTTGGGGAAAGAAGAAGAGATGGGATCACGGGGTGTGTTTTATTGTTCGGAAAAACCACTAGTTGGAGATTGGAAGATATTGGATTAGATGTCAGCTGTGGACCTTTGGATGTCAGCTGTGGACCTTTGAGAAATGAAGAATTGGATAATTATATTATATTATATTTTTCTACATATTTTATGTTAGATTGTTGTTGTTTTATTGGCAATAAAGATAATTTTGAATAAATGGGTTATGTTAAATATGGATCGTCGTTAATGGTCAATGGTATTTATTTAATATTATTAGAAAGAATCATGTTGGGTTGTTAAGTTATATAATTGAGAGTAAAAGGCATTTTTATTATATTTAAGGTAACTTGTAATACTAGGTAGGGGTTTTTGTGTCATTCACTTTATTATTCTTATTTGGGTAATAAAGTTTCTCCGGCTTTCTTGCGAAAACAGTGGTTAAAGAACTGGTCTTGGATCAACATGCAAGATTAACCGTTTTTTTTAAATCATTTCTAACGTCAAGGAAATGCAATATTTGCGTTTGAAAAGCTCAATTTGTGCGTACAATTAAGATATATAACTACTACTATATAAAAAATTGTAACTTATTAAAACCTTTTATAGTACTATACAAATCCTGCTGAGACTGGTAAGAGAGATAAATACAACAATTTTTATAATTGTTCTCGAGATAATTTTGACATGTGCATACATTTTTTTTACATTAAATTGTTTCGTGTATTTTAAGGCTTGAAAAGCCTGGTATTTTTAAATTTTCATAATTCATAATATGATAATGGTGAAAAAGTAATCCGCATCAATTTATCAAATTTAGGGGGACCTGGGCAGGCACAAAGAGTTCTTAAACGACAAGATTAACATAATGTGAATATTAAATTATATCTGAGAAAGTTTCATATTAAAGTGTCATCATGTAATAATAATTTGTGAATATTATTCGTGCTTAGGAGCTACTGGAATTAGAAATAGTTGGGTCAATTGTATAATGCTTAATGCTACATATATCATAGTTAATTATAAAATAAAATATGTGGAAAAAAAACCAGAAAAACTTCAATTTTTTACATAAAACCATTAGATAGAAAAAAATTACCTGATAAAAAACCTATATTTTTTTTTTCATTCACGATATTTTAAAGCATATAATTTATGATTTACTTTTTTAAATCGATTTATAAAACTTATGAATACTTCATTCCTTTAAATTTATTCTGTTAGATTTGTAGGATTCAAATTGAAGGAACTTAAATTTTCTTTTGATTCCAAATTCTTTGTAATTATTTTAAAATGTTGTAATTGGTAGGAGCTTAAAACTATATTATAAAAATTAAAAATGCCGGCCAAGAGCCTCTCCCCGTTTACATATTGAAAAGGCCTAAGGTATGCTTGCGTAGATGCATTTGTCAAATTGATAGAATACACACCTATAATTACTGCCAAGACATCAAAAGGCAGTAAATATTAGGGCCGAGAACCTTCGAACCTAGATTCTACAAAACCCAACCTTGAACCCTCTTTTAAAATATATGGTTCAAGAATTGTTTTATTTTAAATTTATTTTCAATTATTGAAAAATTTTTGTGGAAATTATTTGGAATCATTTGTATTAAAGGTTATGTAAAAAATATTTAAATTTTTACTGTCACATTTTCTAAAATTTTCTAAAATTTTCTATCATAAATAATAATATATAATTGGGAAATATTTATAATTTGTTTATTTAATTATGAATATAAATAATTTTTATGGATATAAATATAATAAAAAAAAATTTTTTTAAAAAAGATGATTCGCTTATTTTTTATACTAAATTTAATAATTCCTTATGTTTCTGTACTCTAAACCTCTGAACCCAAACCTGGTGCAGGGATTTTTAACTATCCCCCCCCCCCCATTTTTAGAACGAGAGTTTATAGCACTGATAAATACGCTGCTTTCGAACATATAGTTTTTTTAGGTTACTACCATCCTAAGGAATTTAGAAGAAAATCGATCCGATTTTTCTATTCAAAACAAAAAATTAGCATCATTATGCGGAAACTCAAATATAGACATAATATATGTTAGACAAGAAAATATATCCTTTTTAATTCTTTTTGACTAATATAAATGTATTACTTTTTTTATAAATTTAAAGGTTTTTTTATAAATTTAGATTACAATTATTATCGGGCCTATGGTGATCCCTGGTATCCCCTAATCAAGTGGATTTCTTAGTAAGATGTTTGTAATTACTCAATTATCTCTCCTCTGGTTGGTGGAAACCCAGAACGACGCAAGTTTATTAAAATAATTTATATACTAGTATACCTCCAAATATGAAAAATCCGATTCCATAGACAAACAGTAGAATATTCGAGAACATGAATCCGAAAGACCAGATTTTTACATGCATGGTGATGTTATTACCCGAAACATCTTTTGAACATTCTCAGGAATTTATTTTTTTAAATGGTGCCACTCTATGGGAACCATAGGTAATTTACATATGTATGATCAAATTTTAGCTCTAATAATAAATCATTATCAAAAAACTAATAACATTTAATTTAAAGTAAAATTTTATTGAAAAAAAAGGAACATTAAATAAATAAGTCATTCTAAAATAGAGGTTTTTTAATACCTCGAGCTTCATAAATTAGTTGTGAATTAAATTTAGACAAGCATTTCGACATAAATATTAATATATGTATTTGTTTAACTAAAATTGGGGCATTCTTATGTTTTTTTATACATTATTTTAAAATAAATATACGAGTTTATCGATGATGTAATTGTAATATATTTTGCAATATGTTGAAAGGTAGGTTGGAAAGTTCCAACAGTATGCCTTTTAAATAAAATAATTTTTTTTTTCTTTCTCTTCTATATCCTAATATGTAAGTAAAACGAATAGTAATTTACTATTCTTATTCTTATTCGTAAGAAGTATATAATTTAATATTTGTATTTTTAATAGTGTCATTACATTTTGTATATCTTAGGAATCTACCTCTGCATAGTTTGCAATGTAGAGAACGGTGGCCTTTCGGGATAACCGGAGTATGACAAAGTGAGCATGCGTGTGGTATTACCATATCGCAATTAAGTCTGAGTCCGGTGGCATGCCTTAGTTCATCGTTTGTAATTAGTAAATCATGAAGAGATGGCTTCAAGAAATTCATAACCGTTTCCCAATGAAGTCGAAAAGAGAAGGGACTGCTCCACAGGTTGATTTCTCGATTTGAGAAATGCAAAGAAGTTGTCAATAAGGGTAAATCCCAATCTATCTGCAATGACGGGAAGGAGAGTCGACTAGGAAAGATGACTTCCAAAAATATTAGATCTGGATGAGTCGTTCATTTGCTGACTGGGTCACATGTAGGACATATAGATAAGAAGGCACTGATGGAGGAAATATCCTTTTCCATCTGCTTTGATGGATAGGGTAGCCAGTAGTAGTCTAGATAATTCTCCAAACTTAAGATTGACTATTTCTTCGGACAATATTTAGATCTATTGTTCGTAGGTAGCAAGAATGGCAAGATATTGAAAAATGCTTGTTGATCGTAGTGCGTAAAGAATCTTCATAATCATAAGGTAATTCTTTAGCAGCAAAAAGGACTGGTGTTCCGAAAGATAGAGTAAGATATCATGAATTTTCTATGTTCCTTTGAGGTATCTGCAAAATATTTAGCGAAGGAGTCTTTATTACATAAGGGGGATCAAATAGATATATTTTAAAAAATTAAATTTATTCAAACAAATCCTTTTACTTCTTTCATTCACTATTGAGCTAAAAACATCATTTAAGTTTCTTTATATAGCCTAATGGTATGGCCTTTAAAGATATATAATGTTAAATAATTTTAAATGTCAAAAAAACAGGAAATATAAAACCGGAAATAGTCATCAAATCAAATCATTAATTTATTCTCTCAATCTTTTTAATGAATAACTATAGAATTAATTAATAGATGTGTAAAATTTCAAGTTTAGGGGATATGGCATTTTATTCATTGGTGAATTGCAAATACTCTTAATAAATATATGATAACTGATTGTAATAAAGTCAAAAGGTATCAAATTTTTTATAATTAATATTTAATTTATGACCTGGGAGATATTTTTTTTGCCATTGATATATGCATATTTTTTATATATTACCCGATTCATATTCTAATCCGTTTACACCATAAAAATGTCGAAAAATAATGAAATGATGCAATTTTGGGTTGAATTGATATATGCCATTTCGGATCAAAATATGCGCACCCACTCCCCGCCCTCTCATGCTTATTTTTTAGTTATCGCCTACGGCATGTTATAAATATAATATTAACGATTGACTGAATTTCCCAAACTTCGTTGATATATTTATTATTCTATATCTATATTTAGCAAAACTCACGCAAATTTATATAGTGACAACCAAAAATGAATAATATCAAGTTTTTAAGGTTAGAGTTTATGGTTAAAATTTTAACTCTTTTTACGGTTAGATTTATCTATATAATTCATATAATTATGTAGTAAAAGTTTAAGAGTACGAGTGCTAGTAAATAACTGCTCATAATGTAAATTAAATTGCTTATTCTGGCAAAATAATCAGATTTTAAAGTCAAAATACATTTTGTCAATAACTAAATATTTTTTAGAAAGAGCGCTATCAAAATTGAGTTTAAATTGTCATACAATAATATTTATGTATAAGAATATTTATTTCAATTCGTTAATATCGTATAAAAAAAATTATGTTGAAAATTGATTTTTGTAATATGAAAGTAATCGTTAAATCATATGATCATGAAACCAATTTTTATATTATGGTTTTTTTCTTCTTCTTCTATGAAATGTCTCTTAAATAGTAATAATCGTCATCTTCATTTAAGGATTTGGCTGATTTGGGTTTATCATCTCTTAATCCAACTAGTTTATTACTATCATCATTTTGAATCTTAGAGGAAGATGTTTTATCCATCAGTCTTTGGACCAAGGATGAGGTTGTATAAACATTTTCTTTGGGCAGATCTTCTGGTATAGTTGGCAAACCGGGGGTTCCTTTAACACTAAGCGAGGTTTGTTTGACTGGGGATAGTTTGGACTCATTCTCGATATTAATCAATTGTCCTAGAGGGACATTTTCGAATATGATTGGCGTTGAAATGATGGACGGAGCCGAGGCTTGTGTTAAAGTTATGTTTTGATTTGGCATCAAAGAACTATTCGTCATGACTATGGGTGCAGTTGTAATGATGGGTATCGTGGTTTGTTGAGGAGTGGGTGCTGAGATAGCATTATTCACCGACATAGTAGAGGATTTGGTGCTGAAAGGCGATGCTATCATTTTAGCGAGGATAGTCTTTCTATCCGCGGGGTTTGCAAATTGTAACTGATTACTCATCGTTTTCATCTCCTGAGATTGATTCATCTTGGACCCCATTTCCTCGTAGAGTTTTGATTCCATGGAAAAGGCAAAATAAATGGCTATGATCTGGTATAGGTGAAATGTTAAATAATAAAAATATTAAAATCATTATACCAACTATAATGTGGGATTTAAAACTTGTTATCATTTTGAGCTTTAAAAGTGTTTAAAAGAAAGTTTTACAATAATAAACTGCAAAATTTAAACATAAGGAAATGTTAAGCTATCTACCTAACTATGCTCATTTCATTAGTCATTATCTTTGTACTATATAAATTTCAAAAAGGGAGAAAGAGATGAATATTGTTTTAAAATACCTGCATTATAAATATGGCTATAAAGTTTCCGACCATATAAGCCAGACTTTCATCCACGAAAATATTTTGCAATTGATTCAAACATCCCTATTATTTAAAAAGTATATATTATATTTTAGGTTGTTGTTGTTAATACTAATTTTAAGTCAAAATTTTCAATTCAATCTAAATTTGCCACTGATCATTAAAGGATAAGCTAATTTTTTTAACCATGACTAAAATAATGTAAAAATTAGAGATCGCATGATTTTTATTCTTTAAAATTGGGGGTATTGATAGCTAGGATCTTGCTAAGAAAATGGGGGAAGCAGTATTAGGCGAGTTTTCTTCAATAGGAAATAAAAATAATTTTGGGTTTACACTTATTTACAAAAATGCTTTTTTTTCTTAATATTTTGAATTATTGATGGTTATTTTAAAAAATAATTAACTTTTAATTTCCTTGATTCTTGTTTTTAGTAATATATTATATATATGGTGGAGGTTTATTAGCTTAGAATAGTATTTAAGAGAACGGACAAATTTACGAAGGGAAGAAATCCCATTCCTTGGCTATGCTCATAGAGCAATTATATAATTTTAACCCATGGTACACATCTGAACCTTTTATCATACTGGTATATCTAACATTTAAAAGGTTAAAATACCTTCTCCGTTACCCTTTTTAATATTTGAAAAATCATGATATCTTATTTTTAGTTCCTTACCAAATAAAGTAAATAATAAAATTTTAAAAATAAAGAAAAATAACAACCAAGCTTCTAATGGCTCACAAAAGTAATTATTATATTACGGGACCTGTAAGGGAAAGTTCCGAGAAGGACGTTGAGGACACTTATGGAACAGAACGGGATCCTTGTGGAACGGTCCTAAACTCTCCCAAAAATCAATCAAAATTATAATATGGAAATGGATAAAGGGTTTATTTCATTATTATATTTAGTTATCTTAATATTTTTATTAAAAAAATTTAAATTGATTAATATGCCAATTAATGAATATATAATAATTTTATTAAAATAAAATTAGTAATTATTAAATTTAGAAAAAAAATATATAAATACATCTAGCCTGTAATAAATTTTTTTATAATATTAATAATCATTAATCACATAAAACAATTACCAAGCACAAATAGAAAAGAATATGGATATGGACCATGAATATGTTGATATGATGCACAAATTATGAAGTATTATAAATAATTTTAATGATGAATAAATTTTATATTGGGTGGGTCTATTTATCGCTCGGCTGAAAATATCGCTCGGCTAGAAAATATCGCTCGGCTAACCACATAATAAATCATTTATTATTAAATATCGCTCGACTAGAAAATATCGCTCGGCTAACCACATAATAAATCATTTATTATTTAAATTACGCTCGGCTAATTACATAATAAATTTTTTATTACTAAATATCGCTCGGCTTATATTTATGTATTAAATTTCCAAACATTTTCCAGTGGGTTTTCACTTTCCTAATATTAATTAAGAATTAATTAGTTTATAAATAAGATAAAGGTTTGGACAGGTGTAAAAAATTATCTATTAGATATTTTAGCTTCAATACTTTTATAAAATTAAAATTGCTCATAACATTTTTTATTTATTAAAGTAAATGAAATAATATTCTATCCGCTAGATGGCGTCTTTAAATTTTTTATTATAAAATTTAAAAATAATATTTTTGAATGTGTTTAATAAATTTCGCCATATTCTATCATGATGACTAAAATATTTATGATTTTTTTTATAGCATTATCTATATTTTGGTAAAAAATTAGTAGTCTTTTTTAAATTTTGCAATTTTTATTAATCAGATAAATTAATAACGATGGTAATTCATTTTATTCATTCATATATAAATCATAATTATTTTTACCAAATTGATATATAATGTTATTATAATATAATTATTGCGTTCATAAAATATAATTTGTTCGGCAGAGAAGATTTAAATATACATTTAGGATAATAAAATTATATATATTGATGAAATAGATTATGAGCAGGGGAAAATTGGGGAAAAATAAGGAATTAAAATTTATAAAAAATATTTTATCGAGTCCTTTCTGCTTTAATTCTACGTCGCTGATGTGGTTTTTTTGAGCCTTTTGGTTTTAAAACAGATAAAGTTTTATCTAATGAATGTAATTTATCTTTGCTTTGACTATTAAGTAAATTATTTAATGTATCATGACTTTCTATCGATTCGGGTATTAAATAATTGCGATATTCATTATTTAAAAAATATTCTCCTTTTCCTGAGAAGGATCTTTCAAATTCTTTTTCTTGTAACATTGTGATATCCTTAATTTTTTCGATTAATTCTTTTAAAGGACGTTGTTTCCAGTTTATATATGATTTTAAAACATGGTTCATAGATTCGCAGTTGTTATTTGTCCATAAACAATTTATTATTTTATTTTTTAGGGGAATGTAAACATGTTCATAAATTACTTTTTGAAATTTATTTTTTATATATGGCAAAAAAATATTTAAATTTTCATTATTACAATAATTGTATAAATCGTTTAATTTTTCATTATATATTTGGTCATTCCGAGAAAATAAAATCCCATTAAAAGAAAAAATATCCTGTATAATTTTTTTAGACATAACAGCATTTACACCTTGTTTTTCCGACAAATATTTTCTTATATTGTCTTTTAAATGACGTGTGCATATTAAATGAGTATTAAATTTAAATATTTCCTGAATAGGTTTTACTATAGCCTTTTCTTGGTCACTACCAAATATGATATTTTTAATATTTATTTTATTTTTTAAAAATACAGAATGCAAATGAGAGAAAAAAGTATGATAAGTGGTCATATCAGAATCTCCATGCAAATATATTGGTCCTAAAAATATAGGGGATTCATCTGTTTTATATCTCTTAACTGCTATATGTTTAAAAACTATAGCAGTTAGGTATAGATCACCCAAATTAAATGTTTTATCAACGCCTAATATACAGAAGTCAGATTGGTTTGACAAAAACTTAATAGTTTTAATAATAAAATGAGTATAACAAATTATCGATGGTGTTTTCTCTTTGATGTGAATTATTGATTGGATAAATGGCGAAATATGTAGATCATTAGTAATTTGTAAAATATTATCCGCAAAATTTAGAGGTACTTTTGTATCTTTTTTAAGTTTATAATTTAAGTTATAAATTTGTTTTAAATTTTTTGGTTTAATTGGGTCTTTTTGAAATATATAATTATTATAAATATTGCGACATGTTTGATTGTCCTTTATTTGATTTCTAATGTTTGATAATAACTGATTTGAAGTCCGTACATAAGGATTTACAATCTTTTTGGAATTCCCATGGCAAGCGGGACCTGGCCATTGTCCTATATATTCAACTAAATATATATCTTTGAAATCGTAATTAGGCTTTTCAATAAAATTAATTTTTAAAATTCGGCGTTTATACTCTTTACTTCTCTTTAAAATACTATAGTATTTATAAAGAACAATTATATTTTTGGTTAAAGGTTGAGGTTCTATTTTTTTTAAAATTCTAGAACCACCTAGATGAGTGTCCTGCCTAAATAGGCCATCTTTAAAAATATACGGACCTTGAACAATATCATTATATATATTATAATATAATTTTCTTGAACTTGATTTTGAGCCTGTCCATGGCCCACAATCATCTATATATAAATTTTTATTCTTATAATTTGTAAAATTATTATTAGAAATTAAAAAATACATATTATATTTTATACCTAAAGGTATTTCGTGCAATATATTATTGGGAGAAAGCAAAATTTTTATGGATTTTACAATGTTTAAAAAAAACCCATAGTTTGGATGACCTCCTTCGGCTATAATATTGTTTAAAAAAAAAGGTAAAGATTTTAATCGGATATCTTCGCTACATGGTTTTTTTAGAATATTTTCTATCGAAAATGATAAATCTTTTATGATATTGTTGGACAGTTGGGGTTTTTTTGTTAATGTATTAATATAATTATTTGGTATGAGAGATACAAAGTGATTGATTCTAATATTAAATATATCATTTGGAAATATGGTAGATGTCCACATGATTAAAATATGAGGCTTTAAACTCTGGCTTACACCCCTGCCATAAAGGATATCGGTAAAAGCCTTTAATGAATTTGATGGGCAAAATACGTGAATTGGTTTGCCAAGAGCAGCGCTTAATGCACATATATGAATTTGCTCAGCCCAAACATTTATATTTAGAGCCGAATCGAGTATCTCATAATACTCATTCACCCATATATTTGGATTAATTTTATAGTTTTGGAAAAAATCAGGATGGTTTTTATCATAATATTGAGGATTCATAATTATTTCTATTGCCGTTATCAGTCTTAAAAAAATATGATGTGTTTGTGTTTTATATAAAGACATTGAAACCGCCCGGTAAAAGCAATTACCATCAGATTCAATTTCCTGCGGAATATAATTTTCTAAGATTGGAGATTGCGCCATTTGTATAATTTTTTCACTTATAGAATCTTTTGATATTTTCTTTAACGTTATTGGTTGTGGCTCTCTTAATTTATTTTTTTCTATTAAGGCCATAGCTGGATCTCTTTTTAATCTGCAAAAAAAGAAAAAATTAATTTTTTTTCAAGTGATGAATCTTGAGTAAATAAAAAGAACGAAGATAACCCTAAATCAAATAAGATTTTTATAAAATGTAACCATATCAAGGTTTTATTAAAATTGACTAAATAAAATTTCTTGATATCAAATAAAATTGCCAAAATCTTTGATTTCCAATTTGGATGTATGAAAATGTGAGTGCTCTGTCTGAACCCTTGTGCGAATATTCAGAGTCGGCACACAACATTGGGTAAAATTAATATTTATATTAATATTTTTTAAAACAATTCAAAAACTACCCTACCAGTCTAATTTCCTAATAAAAACAGCGATTTGTCAAATTTTATTAAATTATGGCCCTACAATGATATTATATAGTTCCATATTGTTTTTTTAAATGATGGTCACCAGAACTCCAAATGATAAATATTTTTACGGTGAATTCTTAAACTAAATATAAGATTAATTTTAATAAAAAATTTGTACTGTTATTTTAACTAAATTAAGTTTTTTCTGGGCACCGAACCTGAATCCCAACCTGGTTCAGATATTTTTTGCAAATAAACTCGAATACTTTTTTAATAGGGTCACAGCATGTAACAACCTATGTATCTTTATTTGAATAAAAATTAAAACCATAATAAAATAATTGACTATATTTTGTGAATCATTTCATAGATAAAGAAAATATGAAGAGTAAATGAATATTAACCTTAATATAGCATCCTCCATTGTGAATATGAATTCGAAAAAAAATTGATGATATGTAATAAATGAATGATTATATTTTGAAGTGAATTGTGATTGTGAATATGAATTCGAAAAAAAATTTTATGATGTGTAATAAATGATTATTTTGAAGTGAATTGTGATTGATATTATGTTATTTTAATTTTTAACTATTAATACTTTTTGAATCCTTTTGCCGCCTGGCTGGCATCTTAAAATTTGAGTTTTATTTTTTTTAATATTAATAACTTCCTTTTTTTACATATTTTTTTTTCTCATAATAGCATAACTTTCAATTGTATTTCCCTCCCTTTCCTTTTTTTCCCCAAAAGAAATTAAATAATAAAAATAATTTGTTTCCATCTTTTTTTTCAAAAGTTGAAATCATAATTTTCATCTATTTCTATAAAAATCTATCATGTTTTCTTTCCAAGATGTCACAAATCTATACTTTTTATGCTATCTACTAAATTATAAAGTATCAAAGCTACCAACCGATTTATCAATTCTCATATTTTGAGATTGCCCTATATCGCTTAGAATTAAAACAGAAATAATGCTAAAAAAATCCTCAAACGTCGTAAATAAATACTCAACTTTCAGAAAATACTGAATATAATTTTTTAGAAATATTTCCGTTATTTTAGCGGCAGGGTTATTTTTGAAAATTTAAACAAAAATTATTCGGGAATTTTTTTATGGTTTTTTTTTCAAGGATTTATTTTCCCCTATTAATTTAAAACTTAAAAAATGGGTGGATTTGCATCTAGATCCATTTAAAAAGTGTATTTTAACAACTCTGGTGATCATATATATAAAATAATAGTTTGTATAATTCTTTATAAATTTGATAATATATAAAATATTTTTAAATTTAGATTCGGCTCAAACGGCTTATTGAGCCGCACTAGTCTGAGCCGTTTTTTACGACTACGGCTCGAGTTCAGGGTCAATAAAACTCGACTATTTAACAATACTACCCTGAACGGATTCAGAGATTTATCACTGAACTCTCACCCGAACCCATTTTTTTAGAAGGGGGGTTTACAACTCTGATATATATTGATGAAATATATTCGATATTCTAGAAATATTGGATAATTATGATTATCCTATATAATTTCTTAATACAATAAGGCAAAATTTATTAAACGCATTCAAAAATATTATTTTTATATTTTATAATAAAAAAATTAAAAATATTTAATAGAATATGGCGAAATTTATTAAACACATTCAAAAATAATATTTTTATATTTTATAATAAAAAATTAAAAATATTTAATAGAATATGGCGAAATTTATTAAACACATTCAAAAATATTATTTTTAAATTTTATAATAAAAAATTTAAAGACGCCATCTAGCGGATAGAATATTATTTCATTTACTTTAATAAATAAAAAATGTTATGAGCAATTTTAATTTTATAAAAGTATTGAAGCTAAAATATCTAATAGATAATTTTTTACACCTGTCCAAACCTTTATCTTATTTATAAACTAATTAATTCTTAATTAATATTAGGAAAGTGAAAACCCACTGGAAAATGTTTGGAAATTTAATACATAAATATAAGCCGAGCGATATTTAGTAATAAAAAATTTATTATGTAATTAGCCGAGCGTAATTTAAATAATAAATGATTTATTATGTGGTTAGCCGAGCGATATTTTCAGCCGAGCGATAAATAGACCCACCGGAATATGGATATGGACCATGAATATGTTGATATGATGCACAAATTATGAAGTATTATAAATAATTTTAATGATGAATAAATTTTATATTTAATTTTGATTTATTTATGAATATTTTATATTCCAAACAATTTTATTTAACCGCTTCTTTCTATAAAATATATCTTTTTAATAAATCCTTTAATGTCGCTATTGTGAAACCGACTGCTGGGAAACATAAAAAATATGAAAATTGATTCAATGTTTAATTCAGTAATAATTGATTATAACTAAGATAGGCGATATAAATCGAGCTAATGTATCAAATAAGGAATTAGAAATGTTTCTAAGGTCCATAAGAAGAAAAACATAGCAAAATATTTTTTTTTTTAAAATAATGACATTCTATCAACAACATATATTTTTTGTTCTGATTGGCTGATATCAAAAAATTTACTAGATACTCAATAAAATAATAAATTTGATCGTTTATGAGTTGGCATATATCGTTCTAGTAGCATTTCAATCAAGCAAGCGGTGGTCAACGCTGCTTTTACAAACTCAAATTTATATTAATCCTGCAAGGAACAAATATTAATGATAATTTTTTAGAAAATATCAAATTCTGAAGTAAAAATCTAAAATTCAGATTTGGTTAAATAAAGATTAATAAATAAAATGTGGTGTTGATTTAAAATATACTATATTAAATCATTTTTTAGGAACATTCCAGACTTTTTAACCGAAACAGAAGCTCGAAAATACTGTTGCTCCGGTCTCTATTTATAACCTGAAGGTCATTGCACTGTCTTTGGTCCAGACCGATGCATACAGACCGGACCAGGGCCCTCAAAAGAAATATTTTTTTTTGTTTTTTAAAAATATTCCCATTTATACTTAATTTGATTTTTTGTTTTATCATTTTATTAAATATAAAAGTATTTAAAGTTAACAATATCAAACAAATCAAATATGAGATATTAAATTATACAAATATTTAATTTAAAAGCAAAATTCTTTTTTTTGGACAAACTTTTCGTCTTTTAATTGGAAAATAAAAATGAACCAAAAGTTAAAAACAATCCCAAAAATTAAATTAACTCCTTTACCCTGAATTCACAGTTAACGTAAATTTGCGGTGAAGTATACAAAGTATAAGCGGCGATGAATACAAGAATACAGCATATTTTGTATACTTTTCCTATCATTCGCGCAAACTGTGAATGCAGGTAATATAGGATAAAATATACAAAAAATTATATGAATTGAAGGGCAGACTTAAATAATAATTATAAAGCTGATCAACACCAGGGTCCTCTAATAAAAACAGGTCGGTCAACCGACACCAATCCTAGTTTAAGACGGATGGATTGTTGACTTTCACTAATTATAACAGAGCAACATAGATTTATTTCAAATAAAGCTGTGTTTATTATTTAATTTTGAATTATTTACTTTTTCCTAGTTATAATACCTTAGTAAATATGTAATTCGAAACAACTTCCCAATAAAAGTTATTGAATTCCCTGAGAATAGTTATTCTATTGCAATCAACGTCGCTGGGGTCAACGCAACAACTCCTGGGTAAGAATCTTGTTTCGAATTTATCTTTTTCTGGCAGGGTCCATAGATAACTATTTTTTTTAAATGTAGAATATTAGATGATGAATCAACACGAATTTATAAGGTAAATATTTGAGTTAGATTCAAATATAGTTATCCTTAGGGGGCGGGGTCCATCCACTTAGATCTTAAACCTTCCCCCACCCTCAATTTAACTTAGGCTTAATGAATTATCAGTTCTCAAAATATGTTGACTCATAAGAGATCAAGTCGTTTGCAAAGTTGTATCTCTAATCGAATAGATTAAAACACAATTGAAAGGATGAAAAGATAATTGCTATTGTTGAAAGAGTTTCCAAAATTTCTAGAATGGATGAATAGTCGAAAATAGAGTATATTACCAATTTTTTTTAGCAAAAGATAAAAAATTTACACTTTAAATATGAATGCAAGGGTTAGGTGACAATTTAGAATTTATCAATTTATTCAGTAACGTCGCTAGAGAAAGGCACAAGGGGGTTTAATCTCCTGGAAAATTTAAGAGAGATCCCGAAAAAATGCTGATTTTTTTAAGAAACCTTTTTTTTGCTCATTTTAGATAGAATCACTTCTTTAAAAAGGAAATTTTTTTTAAAAAACGACCCTTCCTTCTAGTTTAAAAATTCAGCGAATCAACTTAGCTTGTCATCTTAAAACCTGACTACCCAACCCCAAAAAATTTTTACTCCTTATGCCCACCCCAAATAAAAGAAACTAAAATATTTATCCCTTAATCCAATTAAGTTGCATGGTATAAAATTACCCCACCCCATTCAAGTGGACAGGTGATAGAGTAGGATCATTATAATGTTTTAATCCGGGATATTATAATATACGTTTCTTACAAACTATCGGCGTAATCTTGATAATCGTTTGCCCCGCAGCATTTATATGTGCTTTGAATAAAATCGATAGACTTTATCACGCTTTTTTCGGTAGGCTTGCCGTATTTCTGTTTAACTATTACCTCCAAATCTCGGCCGATGAGTTTTTTAATCTTGATTTATATTATGTATACATAACAATTATTTATAATGAAATACGTAATCGATAAGGGTTTATTAAAAGATACTTTTCAAATATATATACGTAGCCTAAAGTTATATTCTAAATAAAGATACACTTTTTATCTATATATAGATACATTTAAGATATTTATTATTAAAATTATAAAAGGTGTGAGCATAATGTCAAAATTGGGAATCTATTGCTAAATTCTTAATATGAACCAAACTTTTTTTAAATTCAATTTGATATTTATAAATCAAATTTATAAAGTATCATTGTTAACACAAATATAAAACATTCTTAATATTTTAATCGGCGAGGAATCCCATTTTGTCCATACACATTTTTACATACAATGAAAAGTATTCAACTAAACACTAGAAGGTAGCATAATGCTCTACTTTATGATCTACATTTTTATTCTTGAATAATCATTAAGTATAATAAAATTCTGACATTTATTTTTGAAATAATCATTTCATCTAAAATAAGCAATAAAAAAAGAATTCATATCTATAAAAAAACATTTTTAGGAGGCTCTCCAAAGTTTTTAGCCGGGTCGAGCCTCTTTGCGCCTTTCTTCAGCCACTGAACAAATTGAATAATTTAAGATTGTTATCTCATCTTTAAATTTCCTTATTTTCTTTTCTAAAATCGATGATCTATTTAATCTCTATGTAATAGATTAAACCTTTGTAAAATAAATATTTATGAACTATCGAATTGGTACCGTTAAAGTATCTCATAACTTCAAGCCTATATAAATTTTCTATATATATTAAGGTTATATTAATAAATCGATGTAATAGTAGGAGAACCAAAGACTTCTTGAATTCGTTTTTCGATACTCCTTTTAAAGGATCGATTAAATTTTAAAAAGTAAGTGCTTCTTGCCAAAAAATTTGTTAAAAGGTAGAGTTAGATAAATTAAACCTATGATATATTTTAAAAAAGTATTTGACCTCTTAAAAGATCACACTTTTTTTGTGCAAATAAGAAAAAAAGGAAATCCAAATACGATATCGACCTCATAAATACTTATTCCCTTCCAATTTTAAAGATGATCTTGCCTCATATCCACCACTCCTAAGTAATCCATGATATTGTTTAGTTTCATTTATATTTTAACTATTTTACGCTATATAATAACATTTAAACCTTATTAGCGAACGCCAATATAATTAGAATGATGAGGATCTGAGAAAAGACTAAAGTAGTGAGGGCAACGTAATAGTTTTTAAACGAATCCGGGCTATGTTCTAAATACGCTTTAACTCCTATGAGCGCCGCGGTGCAAAACGTGATGGTCATAATCATCAAGAGAAATGCTATTCCGGTTGACATCTCTTCCCCCGAAAGATCAGTATATATCGGGGAGTGTAGTCTCAAATATGCTGCAAATAAGAAAAAAAGGATAATATAAATTTGTAAAACTTAAGCCATATATAGCGCACCTTTATCTTGCCGGTATCGAATCACAACATTTAGTTCCTACCTTAAGCGTAACCCAAGATTTTGTTAAGGTGGGGAGCACTATTTATTAAATCTTTTTCTTATTGTGTACATTTTGTTAAACCGCTGGATTTGAGCCGATTTTTAAAAATGGCTAACTCAAAATTTTAACCAGAAATATTTCTGAAGGCCTCACACTCATACTCTTCTCTTCTTCTTTCTTTCTTTCTTTCTTTCTTTCTTTCTTTCTTTCTTTCTTTCTTTCTTTCTTTCTTTCTTTCTTTGTCCTTACCTTTATGCCATCTATTAGCAAAATCTTCGGTCTTGCATAATACTATTCCGAATAAAATATTGAGATAGCCGTTTTTAAAAATCGGCTAAAAATCGAGTCGTTTAACAATACTAGGCAGGTTACATTTTTAAAAAAATATATATTCTTGTACATATTTTACTTTTTAAATAATTTTTTATTAGTGACATACTATTGTATTGGAAAAGAGGAAGGAGTTCTTTTTCTGAAAGTAGACAAAACATCCCCCCTCCCGCCAATTTTAAAACAATTTTATTTCGTCAACTTTTGAACTAACAATTTAAAATATATAAATTTTCGTATAATTTGCTTGAATAAGATTCCTGTCAAAAATTTTGAAAAAGAAACTCGCGGGTGCTAATAATTATATTTTAAAAATTTATCAAAATCCCAGCCGGTCATTGAAGCGTAATCCTGAATTAGCTAAACTCCTACGACAATATTTTATATATAATATATTTAACAACTATATATTTAACTTTCTAATTATTCTAATTAATAAAAAAATGCCGCGATTGGTAATCATTTATAGTAAGCGCGATTTGCTCAAGCGATGCAGAATTAAAAGCTAGCGAAATCACAGCTGATTTATCATATTTTTGGTATATGTGTAAACAGCTGTCGCGATTCGTTCATTTCACTCCGTGTTTACAAATTATACCTATTATTGGCTTACTTTTGTAAATTATGCAGTAAGTAATATCGCTACTCCTGAGAAAATCGCGCTTACTACAAACGAGGCGTAAAGATATTTAAAAAAAATTCATGATGGATTTTTAAAGTTTTTGAATCCCGACATATGCAATATTTTTCAATCTTTAATATTAAAAAAACTGATAATGGCAACAAGAATAAAATTAGCAGCCTAGATATTGATCAAACGTGATCATTTACTGGATTGATTTATTAGTAATAAGATATTACACTTTACATTTCTTAAGCCTCGTTCATAATACTACGATGTTACTCAAGAGATATGCAATTTACAAAATACACAATGTTAAATTATACAACTTTAACGTTTAACGATGAGCGATATATTTCGTGCTACTTATAAACGGGCCTTGGTTCTCGAGCATCCCTAGATAAAATATTATACCTCCAAATATAAAAAATCCGATTCCATAGACAAACAGCAAAACATTCGAGATCATAAAACCGAAGGACCAGAATTTTATATGCATGGTGTTGTTGAAATCAGAATCATCTTTCTGTGAATTCTCTAGAATTGTCTTTTTATTTAATTAGGTTCATTCTATGGACTTACGTTAATTACATATGATTACATTTTAGCTAAACTATAATAATAAATCATTATCGAAAAACTATTATAACATTTTTATTTAAAAAAAAAAATTAAATTCTATTTGAAAAAAGGAACATTTTTTTAATTAAATATATAAAAAAATCATTCTAAAATGGTGGTTGATTTATTTTCTTTCAAAATCTATTCTAATGATAAAAAATCTTGCCCTATTTTTATAATAATAAATACCTTAACATGATGGTTTAGTAAATGTTAGATTTTTTTAATAGACTAAAAAAAGTGACTATCTACTTATCGTGAATCCTGCAATAGAGTCATTTTAAAAAAAATATTTTGGTTCAAAGAAAAGGTTTTTTATTTTAGAAGTTGTTGGCAGGGTTATACTCCAATAAAGAAGAACGCGACTGCACATAATTCAATTCTTGCAAATTAACTTGTATTATAATATAAAAAAATTAATTTATTTTAAATAAGTGCATATATATTACCGGCAATATGCGTCATCAAGCAATACTTGTGTCTTGATTCATATTTATGTCAGGCCCGTAGCGGGGAAGCTTCAAGTGAGGGGGGTGAGGTAGAAGTTATTTGGGGTTTACCATTAAAAATCAACTAGGAAACCAAGTTTTAAGCCGGAGATATTTTTTGACGGGAAGGCATATCCTATTATCGTGACATCGGGGCTGCAGTCACTCCTGATATTTTAGTACAATATTTTAAAACAAACTCTAAAGTATATGACCAAATAGCTTGAATTCGGATCAGATCTTTATATAAAAAAACCATCAAAAGATTATTTTGCTATTTTCAAACTTTAGATCATTTGTTTAGTTATTTTTTTTTTAAATATAAAAACTCTTAGTAAATGTATTTTAAACTTTGTAAATTACCAACCTTATAATTTTTATATAATATTGCATTTATTGCCTGAATGTGCACCTTACCCGAAATAGGGCTAAAAACATCGAGTTTTGAAATATTTATCATTCTAAAATGTGTCACTTATTTTTTTTATGTAATTCTACTTTTTATCAGAGAATATCGCGCCTAAAATTACTTTTTTACATAAATTTTTTTTTTTATAATTATACCATTCCATTTAATTAAAAAATCCGAAATTTATAAAATAATTCAAATTAAATCCAATACAAGGTTAACCATCCTAATAAAAACAAATAGAAACTTAATTTTTTTTTTTTAATTGCTCTCCTGTAAAATTACAAAAAGTGGAGATAGAATATTCTATCTATGTAATATCCTCAAATTTTTTTTTTCTAGGATTTGATTAAGTCGTTTTTTTTTAAAAAAAATTGAGATTATAAAAATTAGTGAGCCGATTTTTATAAATGGCTGACTCAATATTTTAGGCAGAAAAATATTACTTAAGTCATGAGATTTCGCTAATAGATGTTCAAAGCTTTGCGCCAACCATGACCAAACTCTTCAGGCTTGCGCAATATTTTTCCGGATATACTATTAAGTTAGCCGTTTTTAAAAATCGACTCAAATCGAGCCTTTTAACAACACATATTATAACTAAAATTTGATTTTAATAAAAAAAACTCGATACCCTTCTCAATTTTTTTTTTATTTTCAAATAGAATTTTCAAAATTTCATGTAAATCACTAATTAAAATATATAAATATTTTTATGATTCTATTTTGATCCATATAACGCCTAACAATCTCATTCCACCAATCGAAGGTCTAAAGATACAAAAGATTGTAGCCTATTTTTTTTTATATTAAACTAAGGTCTTTGATTCGTTCCACATTTCGTAATACAGTGGATTTTAAATTAGCCTTGTTTTCGGAATATGATTCCTGCATTTTGAAGTCACTTTAAAACTTGCTTAACCGTAAGAATATCCTACCTATGAAAGCATTTTAGACCCACCACTAGAAGACCTTTGGCTTATTATATATTTTTTTTCAATTTGGTTCCTACATCTTCTTTTAAAAATAAATTAACTAATCAAATTTTGCTTGTAATGACATATCATCGGCTGAGTAGTATATTGTTCTATAACCACGTTTCAGTTTATTTTTTGTGAATTAGGAATATCACACAAATAAAACAATGCACTGTATAGTTTGGGCCATGAAAAAAAATTTGGAGATATTGTTCCTATTATTACTACAGGGAGGGAAGATGGCGAATTATAATCTAATAAAAAACCTTAAAAAAATATCGTACTGAGGATAAAAATAAATACACTTTATTTATTTATTATGATTAAAACAGAGATTTTTTTCACTATCTTCATACCTTACCATAATCCAAATTCAAAAAGGTATAATAAATAGAACCAGCAGTTACAATATTGTAGTTAGAATTTTTTAATTAAAAAAAATCTTGTCTGTTTAATCCTATGTCCAAAACTTTTCTTTACATTTTGGAAAGCGATTTTGTTGTTAGGAAAACTGATTCTGAATACACTAATAATTTACAGAAGTAAAAATTTTAAAATTCACCTATGGACAAAAATAAAATATTTTGGTAATTTTTCTAAGAAAAGTTAAACAAGCTTAAATACACCAATATGATATAAAAAAATTAATTTTAGGATTATATCGTGTAAAAATAAATATATAATATTTAAAAAAATTAAATTCTAGTTATTTGAAATAATAAAACGAATAGATTTTATCGTAAATGTTTCAAGCTAATAAAACATATCATTTATAAAAAGGTTTAAATAATTAAAAATATGCCAAAACCTTTTAGATCCTCGCCTCCTTTACCCAATGATGCTGAGACATGGCTAATGTTTTAAATCTTAGAATTCAATTATGTGTTGACAAAAAACGTATCACCCACCCCCCATGAGATCCCAATGACGCATTTAATTTGTATACCCAGGGTATTAGAGAGCACTGTTTATGGCTTATTACAACATAATTTGTTTTGTTGTGTTTATGACTTTTATATAAATTATGATTTTTTTTTATTTACTACTAAACTTAAACAACATCAATTCAATTACAGTGAAATTTAAACTATTAATTAATAAAATATTATAATGATAAATTTTGTATTTATTTCTTTATATTTAAAAAAAACATATAATTAAGCTATTGTTATAAAGCACTGTTGTAGGTAATAGTTCTATACTAAAAAGATACTAACTTTGTTTGGCCTATAATAAATAGTTTCATAAAAAAAATTCATGCTGAAATATCATCTTCGTTTAATTTTATCCAAATTTTTTCTTAAAATTCAATTATTAAGTTCCCACTCCAGGCGCGTAAGCAGCGGGGGGCGGGCAGGGGGACAAATCCCCCCCCAAGCCAAAAAATGCAGATGCCGGATTATATTTTTCAAAAATATTATTGTTAATATTAATGTATATTTGTTAATATTTATTCCTATCTCATATATATATATTTAATTACATTTATTTATCACATTCATCTACTAAGTTATTTTATCAATTAATTTCGATTTCAAGTTTTACTTGGCGTAATTTACCTTTTCAAATTTTAGTGGCGTATTATTTATCTAAATTTCTAGTCAAATAATAATTATCTCTGAAACTCCTTGTCCAACAGGAAGAAAGAGATTGCAAGCTTGCCCAACGAGATCGAGTCTCCTCCATCAAGCAGTAACAGCTTTTATGGAGTTAGAAGAGCCGATTATTAATGCTATTATTGAAATATCACAAAAGCTTGAAAGAAATATTTCCTCAGAAGCAAGAAAATTATTGGATTCAATACTTATTCCAAATTTTTTTTTTCATTGAATGTATTATTTAATTATACAACTATTTTATGTAATACTTTTCAAAAACATGACATTAACTTGATTAAGAAGAAGAGAATAGCGGAAATTATTTTATTAGAACTCAAGGAAATTAGCGCTAATGTTGATGAAGAATTTCATATTTTATATGTTATTGTTGAGTCAAAAGCAGAGCTATACGTGTTTAATATTTGCCCCCTTCGACTTGCAGCAAGCAAGCTCATCGTGAAAACATTAATATAAAACAAATGGCCCCTCTCTTAGATACATTTATAACCCAAATAAATGAATGGTTTTTAATTCATCATGCAGCACTTACAAATCCACAGATATTACTTCCACAAAAGCCTTTCCAACCTTTTTCAGAAGGTGGAAAAAAAATTTGTTAGATATTTATCACGAAGATGTTAAAATATCTTTGATGCCTTATTAGCTGAATAACTATGATTAAAAGATTAACTATGGTTGATACAGTCCCAAAAAATTTTATGGATGCTTTACATTATTTCAAACAAATTTTAGATTATATTCCCAAATCCCAATGTATTAAAATAGTTTATATTAGCAACTCTTCCCATTAGTAAAATGAGAGAACATTCTCTTTTTTAAGAAGAATAACAGAGCCCTGCAGAGGTACCATTTGCAGGGCACGGCCCAGATTTATTTTAAATATTTTTTTCGACCCGGGGTTTTTTTTAAAACCCAGCCCAACTTTTTTGAAAATAAAATTTTCAGACCCGGCCCGAATTTTTTTTTTAAATAAATTATATTTATTTTTTATTTTTATAGCTAATAATGGCGATTTCAAATATTTGGTTTTAAAATAAACAGCTCAGCCTGGATATTTTTTTAAAAAAATTTTCAGGCTCAACCTGGGTGTTTAATTAGGGCTCAGCCAGGCTATGTTAAAAAAAAATAAAATACGGTCCGGCTCAGAGGCCGGGCCTGCAAGTCTCTGAAAAACATATCTATGAAATACAACTTCTGAAAGTAGATTGAATGATTTGGATCTTGAATATTCATAGGCATTTAACACCAAGCAAGGATAGATAATTGAAAAATTAGCTCAAAACATACAAAATACAATTATTCCTAAGAAACTTTTTATGTATTAATTTATATTTCCAAGATTTAAATTTTTTATACTTTATATATTTTAAAGGCTCAAAAAAATTCATATCATATCGTGGTTATATTCATATATTTTATAATTCACATTTATCTTATAGTTTTTCAATGCCGGTTTATATATATAATTTTTTTGTAATTCACATTTATTTAAAATTGTGTATTAGAAAAGTTATTAGTCCTAATAAATTTATGCTTAGTATTTTTAATTAACAATAATATTTCTTAAAAATTTTTATTACCCCCCCCCCCCACCCACCAGACCAAATTCCTACGTACACGCCTGTCCCACTCCATGGTTAAAAACAAAGTTGCAAGAATTTTAATTGTAAACAATATCAGATGTAAATGAGCACAATAATTTTTTCACAATTTTATATAAACTAAGAATATAAATATTATAGTCATATAAATGCGATTCCGAAGCAAATGAGAAACCCAATTACCTCAAATAATGTTTAATATTTAAAAAATAAATAATTTTTTAAGAATATAAATTATATATTATTTTTTTCAAATCCTTCCAATTTCCTTCAATTTTGCAACCAGATCTTGTACCGTCTCAACTTTTATCCCTGCTTTCCTAGTGGGAGGCTCTTCCACTTTGTTCATCACAATGGTATCACATTTGAGATCCACTCCTAAATCAGAGAGAGTTTTTTTATCTATATTCTTTTTCTTTGCTTTCTATTTTTTTTATTGAGGATATATAAAAAAATTTGGTCTATCTAACAAACAAATGAAAAGTTAATAGGCATGTGAAAATTTGAGTTAAAAATTAAATCAATCGCTTTTTAACAAATAAAATTTGTAAATGTTGATTGTTTACAATGTGATCTCATTTTCATTAGAGGCATAGGTTCATTTGTTAATTTAATGTTGCATAGGTTATTTATTGACAAGGGTAATCCCTCCCCCTATGTAAATTTTCTATTTTACACATGTAGCCCTTATTGATTTTATAGAGGTATTACTGTTGGGTAAAGAAATTTAAACAAGTAAAAAATGCTAACCATTATATTAGGTAAAGTAGCATATCGAGGTTCATTGAGCCTTAAGTCAGCACTTATTACGCATGGAAGACTGACTGATATGTTTTCTAAACCACTATCCACTTCTCGCTTGACTTTCAACCTTTTATCACCATCAGGTTCTATCTTAGATGCAAAAGTTGCCTTGAATTCAAAAAAATATATCATAAAAACTAAAATTATTTATAAATTTCACTTAATCATATAATATATTAAAAATCCACCCTATGTAAGTTTATAAACCTGTGGCCAGTCTAATAAACCAGCAATCATTTGAGCAGTTTGATTAGCATCATCATCTATTGCCTGAATATAAAATAATAATTTAAAAATAACTAACAAATACTATTTAATATATTTTGCCTTAATCTTTTAATAAAAATAAATTTGCAATTATTGTGGTATCAAATTTCATAAAAATTATCTTAACTTGTTTCCCAACTAATATAATGTCTGGTTTTTCAATTTGAGCAATTTTAGCTAATAATTTTGCTACATGCAAAGGTTGCATTTTATTATATATATCTTGAGAGATTTCAACATGGATTGCTCTATCCGCACCCATGGCTAAAGCAGTCCTTAATGTTTCCTTATTTTTTAAACATATTATAAATATCATAATAAAATAATTTGTATTATATACAAAACAAAATGATTTTATAAAAATAATTTATATCAGTACAAGGCATTGTGTGGGACCACAAGAAACTGCAATTACATCTTTGACTAAATTCTTTTCTTTCATTCTAATGGCCTCTTCAAGAGCAATTTCACAAAACGGGTTCATACTATGTTTGATACCATCTGTGACCACTCCTGTTTTATCAGCTTTAACTCTTACCTAATTTAAATAATTTTTAATTAAAAATATTAAAGGTTTGGTTAAATTAAATTACTTTAACAGCATAATCAATTACTCTTTTAACTCCAACTAGAGCTTTTAAAGACATGTGTGATTGATATAAAAAATATCTTTGAGTAAACGCGTTATTATCACTTAAGAAATAACAGCTGATCCTATATAAAAATCATTTAAAAGCAATGACAATATGTCATTGTTTAATAGATAATTCTAAAATAGGATTTTTACATAACAGAGATATCATATACCTTCTCAAATTCGCTATTACTTTTACAATCGTAACTCATATTTTATATCATCACATCATAACATATTTTTTTTCATAAAGTTGTCAGAACCGCTAATACTTGTATCTAAGTTAAAAGATAATCATTTTTGTATCTTGTACTTATCTTTTTTACATTTATAATAAGATACTAGTATCTGTAATACAACTACTAAATTATAAACAATACGACTACTAATTTATATTTCAATTTATTTCAAACATCAAATTTATATTTATTTATTTTCGAAAATTCTATTCTATTTTTATATATAATATCTATAAATAATATTTTATTAATTTATTATATTTCCTTCAAACATTTTAAAGTTAGATTTCTTCAATAAACCTCTTTGTAGGTTTACGGTTCCTTGATGAATAACGTAATGTGGTATTTGTATTTGTGTTTGTATTTGCTTCATTCACTGGTACAACCATTTCTATAACTTTTAAAGAACTTTCATGATTTGGGTTAACTAAACGATTTCTTAACTGATCTGCATGCTTCCGTAATGTTTTCCCGGAAAATAATATAAGAATAAAATCCTATTCTTTCTTTGATTATTCTCTCTCTCCACCATTGGTATTTTCATTATTTAACCATATAGGTTGTGAGATTTCAAATTCTCTTTCCTTTGAATGTAAATCATGATGAAGGCTTTGTCTATTATTGGCCCTTACTATTTCGCGTTCGGCATTTGGTCGGATCCAATCCAGACTTGTTTTCAATTGCCTCCCAAACATAATTTTAGCAGGAGATCTCCCTGTGGTATGCTCTCCCAATCGGTAGGTTGTTAAAACCTGTGCCATAGCTTCTTCGGGATCGCTAATTGAATCTCGTGTCGCCGACCTTTCAAAGTTCGTACTGTACGTTCAGCTAATCCATTAGTTTTTGGATGATAGGGTGCCGAACGTATATGACGTATGTTATTTAAATCACAATACCTACGGAATTCCCCAGATAAGAATAGTGGTCCATGGTCTGACACAATGTACTTGTGTATTCCAAACCTAGCAAACCATTTTTTTAGTCGTTTTATCATAGCATCAGCAGAGGTATTTTGCATTAGATCAACTTCTAACCATTTGGAGTAAGAATCGACACTAATTAGCCAATATCGCAAATCTACTGGTCCAGCAAAATCAATATGGATTCGCTCCCAAGATTCCTTCCAGAGGTCTTTTTGAATACTAGGTCTATTTTTCTGCCATCCAGAACATATTTTAATAAAATTTTCTATATCAGCATCACATCTTGGCCACCAACAATACAATCTAGAAATAGATTTCATTACATTTTCCCCAGGATGTCCCCGGTGAATCATTCCTAATTCTGCATTTCTTAATTTATTAGGAATAACCAATCTCCCATTCCATTCTATAATATCACTATGATCAGTTGGAAGTAAAAATTTTCTACCATAAATAAATGAATGAAATTTTTCAATACCAAATAAAAGTGCTCGAGCTTCTTTATCAATCGGAGCTAAGTGTTTCTCTGATTCTAATAAAGTACGTGACGCGAACGAAATAGGTTTTGTCCTTTCGTCTACTAATTGATGTAACAACACAGCCCCTAATCCTGAATCAGATGCGTCGCATTCCAAAATTATAGGCAACTGCTCATTATAAGGAATTAGCGTTTCCTCGGATGACAATAATTTCTTTACCTCATCGAAGGAATTTTGTTCATCTTTCGACCACCGCCAAGGTACTTTCACGATCGTTAATCTATGTAATAGCGCCGCTTTACAATGTAGATTGCGAATAAAACGTTCATGATAATTAACTAGTCCTAGAAAAGATCTAAGTTGTATATTTTTAGGTTTTGGTGCATTTCGAATAGCCTTCACCTTTTCCGGGTTAGGATGTATACCGAATTTATCAATTATCACCCCTAAAAATGAAACCGATTTTTGTAAAAATCTCACTTTTGTTAATTTCGCCTTAAGACCTGCTGCATGTAATCTGTCTAACACTATTCGCAAATTATTCAAGTGCTCCTCATCATTTCGACCAGAAATAATTACGTCATCTAAATAGACACCAGTCATTTTGAAATCTTTTAGTAACTCATCCATATATCTTTGAAATATAGTTGGTGCACTTGCCAATCCAAAGGGCAATCGTCGGTAACGGAAATAGCCCTTATGAGTCACTATCGTTAGTAGTTCCTGGGATTCCAATTCTACTTCCATCTGTAAATACGCATCTTTCAGATCTATCACGGTAAATTTATCACCACCTTGGATTTTCTCTAACAAATCGTCTAAGGTAGGAATAACATGATGGTCATTTAATAAACACGGATTGAGTGTAACTTTGAAATCAGCACAAATTCGAATATCGCCATTACTCTTGCGTACATTTACGGTTGGCGATGACCACTGTACCCTGGTTATAGTCGAATCAATCTTTTCAATAATTCCTGCAGCTACTAATCGGTCTAATTCCATTTCAATTGCTTTGCGAAGTGGAAATGGTACCCTACGGGCTGGAAACGATCTTGGTACAGCGGTATCCTATAAATGTATTCGCACTGCAAAATCACGTATCTGTCCCATCTTATCATCAAAAATTTCTTGATGTTTATTAATCAAATCTCGAATTCTAGAATCTAGTGTTATGCAACATTTTTCTTTTTCAATATTGTTGACCAAATTGCGTACTTGTTTAATCATAACCTGACGAGGCATTTCTAAATTGAATGCTATAATCCATGGTAATCCGAAAAGAGGCACCCCAGTTGTATTCATTATTACCACTGGTAGAGTCCTTGTCTGTGATCCAATCCTAACATTGACTTGGGTCTCTCCCTTAACGTCTAACGGATGATCACCATATGCAGTCATTGGACTGGTTGGCCTAATTTTTTGTCGTCCAATACTTGACCATATATCAATTCCTATCAATGACGCTTGTGCACCAGTGTCAAAATCAAATTCAACATCTAACCCATTTATCTCTGCAGTTAGTTTTGCTCGATTCTCTCGATTTTGTTGAATCTTCCAAATATTATGAATAGAATCACTTGATGACACTCTTATATAATTTAAATTCTTTAATTTACAGCAAACTGCAAAATGACCAATTTTTTTACATTTATTACATGCCGTATTTGTAGCTGGACATCTCACTTCTCGGTTATGAATAAAACCATATTTATAACATTTAAGTTTATTATAATCTTTATCATTATTATATTTGTATTTATTATTCTCTTTATCAAATGTATTATTATACTTGACTTTATTATAGCCTTTATCAAATGTAGTCGTCTACAATTATTATCATTGTCATTTCTTTTGTTATTATCATTTATCTTATTAACAACAGGTATATTTTTATTTGCCATTTATTTATCTGCTCGCTTAGAAGCTAATGCCAGATCAAGAATAAATTGTAAAGTCAGTACATTATTATCTCTATCAAGACCGTTGGGATATAGAGCTTTAAGATCTCTAATCCCGGTATTTCCATGCCAATCATAAACTGATCACGTAAACACTCGTCAATATCATTAAGATAATGACAACGCTTGCCATTTGTTCTAATTTTATCGGTTTCAGTTGTTCTCCGTAATCTAACGAAATCAAATCTAGAAGCAAAAGCTGTTGACGTCGGTTTAAATAGTTTAAAACATATTGACTTAATTTCCTTAAAAGATAAAGTTTTGATCGAATCAGGATAACAAAAACGGTCCACCAACTCAATATTCTTATTGCCAAAAAATGTTAAAAATATATCTTTATATTGACATTCAGATGGGCTTACGTTTTTTAACCGAAAACTGGCTTCCCATTGAGAAAAGTATCTATAGATTGAAGTATCCAATCCAACTCGAATTTATCAAATTTAATCGTAGATAAATCAGCTATTTTTTTGAATCTTTATTTAAGGAATTATTTTCTCCATTTAAAGAATTATTATCTCCATTTAAGGAATTATTTTATCCATTTATCGTCGCCATTTGAAGTAATACAGCTACTAATTTATAAACAATACGACTACTAATTTATTTTTCAATTTATTTCAAACATCAAATTTATATTTATTAATTTTCGAATATTCTATTCTATTTTTTTATATAATATCTATAAATAATATTTTATTAATTTATTACAGTATCTATATCTAAAATCCAAAGAAATAAATCTTGTATCTTTATCATTTTCTTGAGAACAGATACAGATACTTTTTAATATTCATGTTAAAAAAATTTACATATCCCAGAATATAATTATTAGTTGGGATGCTTATTTGGAGTAGTGTTGTTAAACGGCTCGTTTTGAGCCGATTTTTAAAAACGGCTAACTCAATACTTCATTAAAAAAATATTACCCAATCCGGAAGATTTTGCGCATAGAAGGAACAAAGATCTAGACATATATGATCGAAATCTTGAGGCTTAAGCAATATTTTTCTGGCTAAAATATTGAGTTAGCCGTTTTAAAAAATCGACTCAAAACGGGCCGTTTAACAATACTAATTTGGAAACAAAGTTTATCGAAAAAGGTACCAATCGAATTTCTACGCAAAGTTTTAAATAATTTATATCAAAATTTGAATCCAAAAAAATAATTATAAATTTTACAAGTATTTAAACCAAAAAATTATAATGAATTCATTGCAATTCGATCCCCTTTATAGGGGAGTTCCTAATTGTAAAATAAAATAAAATAAAAAATAACAATTTATAAACAGATTTTAAAAAGTAAAATACAGATAAATCACACTGATTCTGCTGAAAAAAAATTTGACAATCAAAATTATATATTTTTTTGAATACAAAAAGTGTAATAGTAATGAATTTACTAAAACAAAAATAAAATTAACACATCCAATAGGTTTTCTTTAACAAACAAAACAAAGACTTTTCATAATAACTGACTATAATATATAATAAAAACTAAGTCCAAAAGTCAACCTACAAAATGCGTATAACCTTAGCGGAGTAATAGTCAATAACTTTTGCATCTCCGACTTCACTATCAATTGTAAATAGGTACTCAAAAAATACACGTTTAAAAATTAAACACTAGCCTTTAAACTGGTCAATAAAAAACAAATTACTAACTTCTCGAGAATAAATTTTTTTAAAACGTCCATAAATGACAATCAAATTCACAGATACAACAGTAATTATATATTTTTGATTTTACATTCAAATGTGGCCTAGGAGAGAATTAGTCTAAAGAATAGATGTTGACAAAAAAAAAATTTGTTCTAAGTTGAATTAATGATAAAGCAAAATTTAGACATCAATTCAGAAGAATTCGCAAAATTTATTTATAAAGATAACAATATTTTAAATAAAATAGATTCTTCTGAAAAATATGCAGATGCATTTAATTTAATTATGTTTTAATTTTAGAATATAAAAAATATAAAGATTAATAAATTTTTAATTTGACAAAATAAATGCGACAACGCTTATATAAAATGTAATTGTGTTTGTCCATACTTAATCTCGCTTTTTAATCATTGAAAATCCTACGAACTCAATTTTGGAATATGGCAGGTTTATCAATGTATCACGAGGAATAAATAATTTTATAAAATATGATAATAATCAATTATTTGGTTAAAAAGACACTTTAATTAGAATTAAGGAAACTAAAAATATTAAAAATTTTGTCAAATATTTTGATTCTTAACGATTGTTTGCATATAAAATGTAGACGTTACATTTGCTCTGAGGAATTGAATTATGGCCCACTCAAAGAAATAGTAATTAAGACAGCTGATTTGGTTAAATTTCTATTATCTCTTTATAATCACATGACTTGTCAGATTTATCAGGTTATTAATGTTATGTTTAAAATAAAGTTTGTAAATAGATTTATTTTCAGCCTTTTATAAAATTTATTATATCATTACTTTACTAGCTGAGAGCCCGTCAAGAATGATGGGGAATCAGAAATTTCTCCGTAAGGATAAAATAAATTTTACCTTCATTTGACGATGGATGAATCAGAATAGTCAAATTGGAGGAATAGATATCCATATTCATATTCCCAAGATTTCTATTTTTAGAGAAAAGCCAAATATATTATGAAAAATATGGAATAAAAAAAAAATATGATATGTGAGTAATCATATTTAACAATTCTTTTAAGATATTTTCCATATCCAGACGCTATGGATTTTGTTGTCTCACTTCGTATAAAATCTACAATCTTATCAAAGAATCATTCAAATGCGTTTATAACCTTCCTAAATACTCCTTTAAAAAAAGACCTGCCAATCATAGATTCGAATCAATTATGGGGCAACAGATTATCTCACAAAAACTGTGGTGGTATCCACCCCATTGCAATGGGCTATTTAGAAGATTATTAGCAAAAATAATTGGCATGGGTCAAAACTCACGATATTAACTTATTAAGTATACTTATCAATTAGGATTTGGTGTTAAGGGAAGGTTAAATAGCTTCAGATGCCATTTGTATTCCAAAATCCTCCTTTTAACATAGCTATTTTTAAAGTACACTTTAAAAATGCTTTCAATAGCAAATTTTATGAACATTTAATAAATTGTTTTTATCATATTCTTAGAGACATATAGTAACATTAAAACTCCTTTATTCAGCCCACATGTTATAGATTATGAAGAAAGGATCTAGCAGGAGCAGGGGACAAATGTGCTCGTTTATTTTACCTTGGTATTCATTATCATATCCATTATCATAAATCTAAATTTGATTTGGATATAAATATTTGGTATCTTAAATGGAGCCGTTTGCTAGCGAAAAGCTTTCGCTGGGTAGATGTTTTCTCAGCTCCATCGGTATGAACGGTAGAGAGATTCGGGAAGAACGGAATACAAGATAAAGACCTTGGAGGTATCATGGTGGTATAGATGTGGATTAACCGGGCTTATTAGGAGATTGTATCCGCATAAGTACTTTAGAGAGCAGCACACAGGTTAGCAGAGGCAAGTGGAGGAGGAAGAGCTCAGATGTACTAAGTAAGGGATCCCTATTGTTACCACAGCTGGAACTGAGTACCAAGAATTTATAGGGCCTCAAGGACTGGGAAAAGGGGAGAGATGTCACGAATAGTCATTTAAAAATAAATTTAAATTTAAAATCTTTCTTTTAGTTTAGTGATGATATTATGAAAAGCGATTATTTTAACTTTTAAAAGAATCTATATTTAATGTATTAATTTATTATTGTTTAGTAAAATTATTAGGATTATCGATTCTTGTTTACAAAAAATATCTAATTATAATTATGAATTTATTTTTCAGCAAAATCATTGTGATTTTTCTGTATTTGATTTTGATAACAAATTTTTATTTTTTATATTATTTTTTACAATTAGGAACTCCCCTATAAAAGGGGAGCTGATTGAAATGATAATATCATTATATTTTTTGCAAATATTTGAATTAATTACTTTGTTTTGGAAGTTAAATAAAATTAATTTATCTATTGAAATTCTGTCAATTGTCATGTATTCTTATTTATTGTCAATAATTTGGCTGAACAAATTGCAGAGGCGTTTCTATTGATTTGGGCTAAATAACCAATTTATATTGATTTAAATTATTTACTCTTCATATTATGTCTTTGTTTAAATTTACTTTAGATATTTATTCCACAAAGAAAAATAATATAGGATAATATATGATGAAAAAACAATTTAGGGTATCAGAATTTTAAAACCATATACTTTAAAATATTGAATAAAAAATAATAATTGATCGTAAAACATTTCATAAATTATCTGTCAATGTCAAATAATCTCTTTATCGCATGGGCTTTCACAGAATGTCAATCGTATGGTTATATAAAAACCTGTTAATCTTTTTCAAGCATGGATTTAATGAAATCAGAAATTTGTGCGAATTATTTAGATTTTCAGGTTATATTAATAAAATAAAGTAAATATTTTATATAGATTTAAAATATAGGAAAAGATTAAATCTTTACGTAAAATTGATGACGATATAATTTATGAAATCAACAGAGCAATACCTACAAAATCCTTTGCCCATAATCTAAATATGTCTAATAAATGTGGAGAAATTTATAAAAAGGTTGAATTTATGGAATTCAAGTATATAGTATAGTAGAATATAGTTATCAGATAATTACAAAGAGAGGGAAAATGTAATAAAAGATTGTATAATTTATAACTTTGAAGAAATTACAAGATTAAAAAATAAAAATGAAGAAACTGAAACCCTAAAAAAAATACGTGATTTGCAAATGGGAGTATATATTAAATATAAGATTAAGAATTTTATAATGGCCTAGGTAAGATTAATGCAAAATGAATTTAATATTGATGAAATTATCAAAGATCGAACTCTACAAGTTATAAATAATATATATTGTTTTTAATTTTATATGTACAACTCTATATGTCATTTTATGTAAGTCTAGATCTAATGAGGTAACATTTATAATTTACTAAATTATCTCAATTTGAAAAATTGCTTAAACTAGCTAAATGTTAACTTTTATATACTAGTGATTTAAGGTAATTTATTAACAATTAATTAAACCCTTTAACACCAAAATTTATTTTATGCATCAAGAATTTATTTGCTAATCAAAATAAACAGTAAATAAATATAAAATGGTCATTTAAATTTATTAATCTCAATTTTAAAATTATGTTAAACTAAGTCACATTTTAAGATGCTCAAGCTATACCAAAAAATATATTAAAAGGTCTCTTATTTTTGGGATCATTACCTAGACATTTAGGTAAAATTTTAAACCAAAAATCAAAACAAAACTTACAAATTTTTTTTAATGAAATTATAAGCCAAATGAAGATGATTAAAGCCTAAATATATTTGAATGGTGCCCTGATTTGGTGATACTATATGTTATATAGGGGGATACTGGAATGTTTAAAATTAAAATCAATAACTGCACATATTTTTTATTTTTAAAGAGTTATTTTGCAAAAATTGTATTTTACCATGTTTTCTTTTGCAATTTATAAATTCATAGGGTAAGTTATAGAACCTTACAAGGACAGATCAAAATCCCATCAACCAAACTTGGATTAGACAGAGATTCTTTCAGACTTAGTTGAATTTGAATCTTAATTATAAAATAATATATTCAAAACAGGATTTCATTTTGTATTTTTACAAAATTAAATATATTTTCGATAATAACACTTTTCTTACCCAGTTAGAATTTTTCCACTTTTATTGAAATATAATAGTTTTTAAACAGTTCAATAAAAAAAGAGAGATTGACTACTCAGACCTAGCAAATATGTCTACATAAGTGTAATTCCAAGCCAGGGATACCCTTTTCCCACAGAATTTCTAATTAAGGTAAACCATCTAGCCTTTTACAATCTGAAGTAGGGCTATGTTGTGCCAATAATTAATATTGGATTGGGGCAATATTATTAAAAAAAATCAATCCATTTTTTTTTGATTATTTAATGATTGTATATATAATTATATGATATTTTTTATTCTATTATCAATAATAAATTAATAAAAGGAACCAAAATTCAATTTATTTGTAATGTTTTTTAAAAAAAATCGAATTATTTTAAAAGATATAGTAGCTATAAATGATATTATATTATCTGTATCAACAAAATTAGCTAAAAAAATATCAAACAAGTCACATATAGCCAGTGTTGTCAAATGGCTCGATATGGCCAATTTTTTTAAATTCTAGTTTTAAATTTTAGCCAAAATAAATTACCCAAGCTTGGACCAGATGGTAGATAGGTCTGAACATTTATTGGAGAAATTTTGGGACATAATATTTTGTTTAAAATCTTGATTCACCCATTTTTAAAATAAGCAAAATCCAGGTGTTCAACAATCTACATAGATAGAATTGCCGATTGTTTAAATAAAATGATTAACTTTTGTAGAATAAAAAAAAACAAAATACATTTTACTATTCATGGAAGTTAGTTGTAATTTTTGAATAGAAAATATTGTATGACATTGGCTCAAAATCAGGGTTGTGCATTTGACCGGTCAAATACAATTCGGTCAATTGACCGATATTTGACCTATCAAATATGGTCAAATTCAAATAAATGTTTTTTACACCAATATTAACTTTATTTTGCATTTATATAATATTATAATAAATCTATGTATAATAATAAATATAATATTTTTTAATTAATTCTATAGTCAATGTTTCACCCTCTGTGGCAGAGTCTTGTTCCGATTCATATTCAATATCATTATTTTCTTTAATATTTTTAATCAATCTTAAATTATGATACACTCTTACTAATTTTCCTGCTGTAGAAGCCTTTAATCTATTTCTGTTTTTCGTGTGAATATTTCCCCAAACCGACCAATTTCTTTCAGAAGAAGAAGTCGAACTAGGAAATGTTAGTAAAATATTAGCGACTTCTCTTAATGGGCAAGGTGGGCAAAATGCATTCCACCAACTTGAGGCCGAAATTTGATTGTTTCTTATGGAAGTTACAACTTTCCACATATTATGGCTATTAAATATACCGCTTTTGCTTCTGAAATTTACTATATTACTCAAAATATTTTGATTATCACCACCTTGTAAAATACCCATTTCTTGTATTATATTACATGCTTCATCAAATTCAGTATTAGTAAGATGCTCCCCTTGATATTGGGAGTCCAATAAATAAGCAGCATTGTGAGCACATGTATTTAGATTAGTTTTTCTCTTTTCAAACATAACCTTAATTTTTTTTTCTTGAGATGGAGAAAATATAGAATCATGGCATGATTGTATTATGTGTTTTTCCAAATTAAGTATCTCGTTTTTTACTTGGGCCAAAGTACATTTATCCCCTTGCACTTTCAACAATGAGGTAGCTAAAGGTTGGAGTATAGCTAAAAATTTTAAATTTTTCATCCAAAATTCTTCGTTTAATATATTATTGGTAATTTCTATGGGACAAATATCACAAACAGCTTCTTCAACAACTGATGCTTTTAGAGCTTTCTTGCATATTTGAATTTGCTCCATACATTTTATTGACGATGCCCATCTTGTTTGGCTAAATGTACTTAATGTAGATGGTATGCCATGAAGATTCTTATTACGGGAAAATACTGCAGCTGGTATGTGTTTATTCTTGAAAAGTTTAACAATTTTTTTAATTATTGAAATATGGTCACTGAAGGCGTTTAATCGATCAAAATCGTGAAAGATTAACTGCAATGTATGCGCTGCACAACCATAACATTGTATATGATTATAAATAGATTCAGATTTTAGAATTCTCCAGGCTGCTTTCATGTTAGCGGCATTATCAGTAACTAAAGAATATACTTTTACCGGATTCAATTCATGAATTACATTTTTAAATTCCTGGGCAATATAATCTGCCGTTCCTCATTATTTAGAAATTTGTAGAACACTGGAACAGGCGTCATCACCATAAAATTAATAATACTCTCGTTTCTAATGTTGCTCCAGCCATCTGATACAATTGATAAGTAAGGAGCTTTATCTATTATATCTTCAACTCTCACTTCCATATCACCTGACGCTTTGTCTAGAAGATATCCAGCCAGCTGCCTTCTCCTGGGTAATGTGTAAATAGGACGTATTTTTTTAAAAAAATTCTTGGATATAAGGATTTTCAGTGATGTGGAAAGGTAAATTGCTTGCATATACAGCCTTTGCAAACAATTGATCCAGCTCATTTTTTTCTTTGGGATTAATTCTATCTATGAAACCGGTTATACAAGATTGAGATTTATATTTAATCGCCTTGCTTGTAGATTGATTAGAAATAATGGAATCAAATTCTCCTGAGTCACAAGACAAAATATTGTTCATTTGATAATCATTCTCACTAATTTCACCCAATTCTTCATTAGAGTTAGGCTTAGAAGTATTACAAATTACATTTGTGATATTTTTTGTAGAGGTTGATATTTTGGAATTTGAATAAAATTTTTCCTTAATTATAACAGGGCACATAGTACAGCTGCTTAATAAATGTTTGACCATTCTATCAACGTGGGTGATATAGGACATCTTGCAAAACTTGCACACCGCTTTAACTGATTTACCATCGCGTACTTCTTGAAAATGTTTCCAAACATGATGCTTTGGTTTGACCATAATCCCTAATATATTAAAATTTAACAAAAAATGATTTTGATTATTGTAAAGTTAATCAATCTTAACTATTTTATAATTATCGACCAATTATTCCAATAATTTCTTAATATTATAAATATAATATATATAACTTTTTACCAGAATTGAATAATATTCCGTAAATCTGACCAGAACAATTAAAATGAAAATTAATTTTAAAAACCAAATATAGCAAGTGTAAGTAAAACAAATGAGAATTAATATAATTTATACTCGGCTAAATATTAAATAAAATTTAAATTTATTAAAAAATAAGAATGAAAAAATTATATTATGATTATAATAAATCGGGTATTTTTATTTTTTTTAAGAAAAATGAATTGAAAAAAATAAAGAAGGCGAGAAACGGCAATGATTAGGCAAAAAAATAACTAAAAATATTACTATATTTAGAAAAATTACATATTTATATTTTAACAATAAAAAAATTCTTTTGTTTTTAACAATTCATGATACAAATAATTTTTTAAATAATTGTAACCTAATAAGATTGATAAACATGCTTTTAATGCATACTAGTTAATTATATCAAAATATTTATTCGCCATTAATATTTTAGAATACTCCTCCGGTCAATTGACCGAATTTGACCGACATGCCAACCCTGCTCAAAATAGATGGTTTAAGATAAATAGTGATTATTGGATCAAATTGCATTTGCAGTAAGATCAGATTTGAAAAATTTGTGAATCGGCACAGCTCTATTCTGAAGTATTGAGACCTAAGGGTTCAAGGGTGCTCTTTTTAGAGCTTTGAATATGTATAAATTAAAATAAAATATTAAAGATTGTGAACAATATAATAAAACCACACTTTATTTGAAAATTTTGACCTGACAACCATGGTCATATTTGAAATCTTAATAAAACATAGTATAATAAAAATTATAATAACTTACTAAATAAAAATAAATATATAAGTATCGAAGGCTCTAAAAAGAGCTTAATTTAGCAATGAGTGTGTTCCTAAAAAACAAGTATAATTATGTTTAAAAGTTTCAGGTTGAAGTTTTTGTTTTAGAAATATAGATTTGCAGTATTCATTTTTTATTTTAAATATTGTCCGCGATAAAATTTAAAAAAAAAGGTATGTTGACTGGAAAAAATTGCCGTTAGTTGATATGACTATTGGCTGAAATATAAAATTATTGAGTTTTGAATATTTATTAAATTTTTTGTTTTTCCCGGTAGTTAGAGGGCTAGAATTAATTG